AGGCTCACTTTTTTTTTTTTTTTTTTTTTTTTTTTTTCTGGGCAGCTTTCTTACCTCTGTCACCTTAACAGAATTGAAGAGATTTAATGGGCTTCTCTGGATTAGGTTTTGGCTTCAGCGGATATTGTGGCTGATTTGATCTTCTATCCAGACCACTGCTACTTTCTCCATATCAACCATGAGGTTGTTTTGCTTTCTTCCTATTCATATGTTCACTGAAGTAGCATATTTAACTTCCTTCAGTAACTTTTCCTTTGCTTACACAACTGGTTCTAGCTTTCAGCCTGTCTTGGCTTTTGAGATGCCTTTTTAAGCTTAATCACAGCTAACTTTTGATTAAAGTGAGCGACTTGAGACTCTTCTATTCACTTGAACACGTAGAGGCCATGGTAGGGTGATTATTGGTCTAATTTCAATATTGGTGTATCTCAGGAACTAGGAGGCCCCCAAAAGAGGGAGAGAGATGGGGGAATGGCCATTCATTGCAACAGTCAGAACACACAGAGCATGTGTTAACTATCTTATATGGGTGAGGTTTGTGGTAACCACAAAACAATTACAGTGGTGACATAAATGATTACAGATCACCATGAACAGATATGATATTTTAAAAGTTGAAAATACTGCAGTTACCAAAATGTGACACATGAAGTTATCACTTGCTGCTGGAAAAATGTACTGACAGCCTTGCTGGATGCAGGGTTACCAGTTATCTGCTAAGTGCAATAATGCAAAGCACAATAAAATAAAGTGTGCCTGTACTTTTTTTTTTATTAGTAAGCATGTATTTTTAAAGCAATTCACAATTTACAGCAATACAATAGTGTGTTGTGAAAACATCAAAAGTCCTTCTTCTAAGGGTTCAGGAAAACCTCACACTTACAACAGGTCATGGCCGCAAGACACAGCTTGTCTGCAAGCTACACATTAAATGTTGTACTCTTAGGGACTAAATATAAAAGCCAAGGTTGAGCTTTGAGTACAGAAGACAATATACAAATGAGATTATCACCACTGGCTATTTGAACAGAATTAGATCTCACAGATAGTTTAATCAACTTTTAAAAGTTTACAGATGAGGAAAATGAAGCTCTAAGAGTTATGACCTTGCTGGGGTTCCTCTACTTCCTGTCAGGAATGAAAGTCAAACTACCATTTCCCAACTCCAAGCCAGTTCTTTTCATTACACCGTGCTGCCAGCATGTCTAACCAATTAGGTAGAAAGGTATTTCATTGAATCTTCCACCATTCTTTTCCCAAAGAGTAACCAGTAAGTGGTAAATTGTGTTAAATTTAGCACACACTGATTACAAACACGAAGTACTATATTGCAAGGAAGAAAGGTTTTGTGCTTTGGTCTTTAATCTTACTTCCATTAAATACTAGGGAATCTTGGGTCATAAAGTTGGTATTATTAAAGAGAAACCAGTAAAGAGTGGTTGCTGAAAGTTAATTTTTCTTAGCTGGTTCTTCTAAGTATATACTAGGTATTATCAGCAGACTTCTGAAAGAAAGTCTGCTGATACTTTTTTACCTGCCTTCCTCAACTGAGAAATTTTATACAAAATCATTTTAAAACATCTCAGGGAGAAATTAACACAAAATTACAAATCACTCCATGTGCTTAATTTGAATGGTAGCCTTATGTTTTCATATAGCCTTATGATTATAGCCTTATATAATTATAGCCTTATGTCTTCATCTCATAGTCTTCATGCTAAAATTGGGATTCTTAGTAAAAATGCATGCCAATCTGACACTTTCTAGGAAAACTGCAATAACTTTATGAACCTCAATACAAGCAGTTAACAAGTGAAATTCTTTCATTCTTTCTCCAGAAATTGCATTTTTGAGAAAATATGCAAAGTATTCCACTGAAACCTCTTACAAATGTATCTGAATACTGAATTATCACCCATCACAGTGACTTGCTCATAGTAAGAAATCAATAAAATTATTTTATTAAATGTACGCATAAAAGGCATATGAGTTTTTGTTTGACCTTCAGCTGTTTTGGAATTAAATTACATCTGGGCTCCCAAAAATCTTTTGACAGTTTTCATAATTTGCAAAATACACAGGGCACTGGAAACTCTAATGAACCAGCATTTACATAATGGTATCTGCCATATGATCACTTTGGTTAACAGCTTGTTGAAATTATGTACTAAGTGCATTATGTGTTGCCAAAAAAATTTTAAAAAGCAAATAATAAATCATGAGGCTCTACAAAATAGCTTAGAAAAACAAGTTTTCTATTTATTTAAAAATAAGTTTGTAGTTACTACATTGCAGGGACAGGAATTCTTACACATACATTCTAGTTTGTATAAAAGGATTCAAAGAATTATGCATCAAAACTAACATAGAAAGTGTCCACGTAACAGTAAAGAAAGGTCCAATCAATATGTACAAAAAGAAAGGGCACTGCTATTCTGGTGTGAGACTGTTTATGATACTCCAGGTTTGGAAGGAAAAAACCAAACTTCAATAAAGCTAAATAATTAATTTGTTTTTAAACTCTGTGTTACTTGTTAACATACAACAGATCTGCTTGTATTTAAACAGTTTTCTGTACAAAATAAGCATAATTTTAATTTGAAAATGTGTCAGTTTCAACTTTCACCCTCTAAGTCAGTTACTTTTAAAAAATTGAGCTACATTCTACACATGTCTAAATATCCTGTGACAGGATTTAAGTTTTCTAAAAGATCTTCAGTAAGACCCCTGTCTTCTTACAGTTTTAATATGGTCCAAAAATGTAACTTTGTATTGTCTCATTTTATAGTCTATCATTGTGACTAATCAACACACACAATCTTAAAGTAACCAGCATGTGTGCATCTGCCTTATATGCATGTGTACTATATTCCATCTTGAACCTAAAATTTTCTTGGCTCCTTCAATTGTAGAAACTTAGCCATGCACTACTACATATTTGGTCTGTGCCATAAGGTTAATTTCCTGATAATTTTATCTGCATTAATAAAGAGAGCTATCAAAACTAAAAACAGTATCTATAGCTCATATTCTCTACTTACTGTTTTACTGCAGTGTGTACAAGGTTTATCTCTGGAGCGCCAAAAGTGGTACTTACAGTCTTCTGGCTCAATTTGACCTTTTCTTGGTACTATACATAGTGCATAATGACTGTTCATTTGTAGCACTTCGCTTAGTTTAATTAACAAAAATAGTTTCTTAGTAAATGTAATATTAATTTTAGTTCAGATCACCTGGAAATTAGGCCAACTAATGGAAAGTACAAGAGTAGAAGCAAAGAAAAGTGTAATTAAAATTAAAATTTCAAATTTTAATGGGAAAATAAATTCTCACCTAAGTTTAACAAAACCACTGCTCAATCTGTTATGTTAGAAATACTTTTTAAGTTAATAGGAGTAAACAGATGATAAAATGACTTCCCCTATTATGACTTTTAAAATCATGTAACTCCTGCATATAAGCAGAACACTTATAGCCCTTTAATCACTCAAGTATCTTGGTCCTTTCAACCTACTCAAAAATAAGTTTCAGGTGAACAAAAACATTCAGAATAAATCTGTTTTCATTAGATAGAAAACTGAAAAAATTACTTCTAGCTGACCTTTGAAAGAGATATACAGTATGTATATATGTATAAAATGGAATGTCAGAATTGAAGTAAACAGTTAACTGGAGAAATTATAGTACAAATCATATTTGAAAACATGTAAATGCTGCTAACATACAAGATAAAAATGATATCTGAATACATTTCTTAAAATGTCTGATTAATCTACTGCACTGCAGATGAGGGACAGTTCTAGATGTTAACATACATGATGCACAAAGGTATTTTCTCTGATCACTGTATCTTATGTAATTCAATTCCAAGTGATAACTAAATTTAGCCAACCCCAAGTCTCAGATGTGACCTAATCCAGCTCACAAATATTCTGTACAGTTATTTGCTTACATTAAAGGAGGAAGACAGTTTTATAATAATGTCACCAGTCTTTAAATGTGTAGTGAAGCTGTGGAATAAAAACAATTTAAACAAGGTCAAGAAATCTTCAATTCATAATACATGCAGAAAATAGTCCAATGCCACTACAGCAAGTCACAAAGGCTAACATTTTAAAAAGCTATATATCTATTGTCCAGGGTTGTTGAGTCTCTGATTAGACTCAATATTTAAACTAATGCACCACTTAAACTTTAAACTTTTCATCTGGGACTTGAGAATGTTGGAGTTGGGAAAGAGAATATTAGGATTGGGTGCTTAGAAATACCTAAATTGGTTTACACTTTCCGTGAATGTAATAGTTTTATTTCTGAACTTTCAGTAAATTTGAGATGTTTTTATTGCTCACCTAAGACAACTGCCAACATTTCTTTCTGGCCTACCAACAGTACATACATAGTGTTACTGCCTCAAAGAGGGTTATTTTCCCAAGTGGTAAACAAAAATATGGCGATGACTTAAATTTCTTAATTCAACTTCTGCAATGTATAGAAGCTAAATTATAAAAATATAAAATCTAAATATATTGGTATTACTAATACATGTTTAAGTGTTTCGATTACAAAGAATCTGATCCAAGTTACTGTGCTTTACTAAGAAACCAGTGTCTAATAATGTCCAAATAAGGTCATAAATATACAGTGTCTTTAGAACACGAATAATATATTTACGTGTTATAGGAAAGATGGTAAATACTCATTTCTTTGCTCAAGAGTTGGAATTAACACATACACTGTACTAGAGGTATATTCCACTCTAAGACTGTGTATGGTCTTCCTTTTTCTGTACACAACTTGAAACTGTACATTTTTTTTTTTACAAAAATTGATTTTATAGCCTATTATTTTTTCTAACACAATGCAGATAACATCAGGAAATTACATATTCCAAATAGACTGCCTTCAAAAGCAACTAATTAATGACAAATTTCAAACATACACTATTATTTTCAAGAATGGTGTAATTGAAAGACTCATTTTTCTATACAATCCAGCCAACCATTTCTGCATTATGAAGAGTGTAACTATTGAATTTTAATTTTAGTTAAATATATTTGTTAGAGAAAAATAAATATACAAAAAACCTGAAAATTTTGAAATTATTTTTTAACTGCAAAATCACAGTAATGCAGTCAAGATCTGGAAAATGGTTTACTTAATTTCACAGGAGAATTTCTGTACAAATTGAGTTACAAATGATCTAGAAAGCCCAAATGTATCACTTTGCATTCTTCAAGACAGTTAAATGACAGCTACTATTTATCCTCATCAGAAATAATTAAAGAAATATTATGTAATGTATTTTGCCAAGGTTCAATTGCAGACTTTATTTTTCCACATCAGGGTCATGCTGATACATATTTTCCCCATCCTCACTTCTTAAAAATGTAGTATCTGAAAATTTTGGTTACATTTTTGTACCATACCAGTCCTCAGAAAATACTACATTCTTTAAATTTTTTTAAAAATGGACAGTAATTTTTAAACAATAGAAATGGTAGTTACGTTGGTTTTTAAGGTATAAAATAACTAACTGTACCATAAACAAATAAATAACTGCTTTCCTTTTCCATAGCAGTAGATATAGCAATACATTCTCCTAAGTCATATAGTTATCATTTACAATAGACAACTTAATTTTACTAATGATGCAAAAAATAATAGAATACAAGGCACAATCATTAAATGGAGTTTTTCTTTAGGGTGTATATTGACATACCAGCATGATAAGGATACCGTAAAAAGTGCAGAAAAAACACAATGTGCAATGAGACCACTGTATAAAACATGATTGCATAAAAAGTGATTTGGCCTATTTTAACCTTTAATAATTGAAAATAACCAATTTCTCCCTTAAAATTAAACTATAAAGTATGACATTTTAAAATTATTTTTATTCTACTGCTATCTAAAAAATCCTGAAAAAAGAATTTATACCTGGGTAATAGTATATAAGTATGTGTTTGTATATATATTTAATTATACCCATTTATCAATATATACACATACACACACAGACACGTTTCTTTGTAAGTCATTTTAGCCTATTAGATATGTCTACAGTTTAGAAATGACATTAATCCAGATCAACAAGTAAACATCAAATCCATACCTTTTTTCCTGTATTTTCCTTGAATCCTTTAACCACTTAAACATTTCCTCTAGAACATCTCTGTCAAAGGACCCACCAGTGCATTATTTTCTATTAGTACCAAAAAAAGATATATCTCAGCATAACTCTTTAATAACTTGCTCTTTAGAATATATAGCCTTTCCAATATTGAAAAGTGTATGCTGTCCTGACAGTCAAAAACAGGCTTTCCACTGCACTGATTCTCAGTCTTTGGCACAATAAACAGAGATTGAGTGATATAAGAATCAAGGTCTGAAAAATTAGACAGTCAAACGTTTTCCAATGTGGATATGTTTCCCTTCATCAGTACATTTTCTCTTAAGTTTGGCAGAAATGGAATAAAGCAAAAAGCCTCCTCTAGATACTTTGCAGATGAACATTCTATAATTAAAATTAAACTTTTTAGGGTATCAAATGATGGAAATTTTATATTTATCTTTTAGAGGAAACATTTCTTAATTCACTGCTACTCTGTATAACATCTGTCTTTTAGGGGCATGACTTGTATCAATAGAAATGTACCTTGCTTGGTCAAAAATAATTCATTTTAACATGAAATGCTCTATCACTAGGAATATTATGCTCCTAAAGAGTGTAGCAGAACTGTCTTTTCTATAAATAAATCAGGGAATTCATTATAGATCAATTTCTCTTGTTTCAAACAGTGAATGAAATGAATGTGAAAATGCATAACCTATCTAAGGGCAATAAATAGCAAACATTTAAAATATATATGTATATATTTATATATATATATATATTCATTTAAAGAAGTGAAGTGTCTTGTAAGGTTTTTTTTTTTTTTTTTTTTTTTTTTTTTTTTTATAATTTTTTTTTTTTTTTTTTTTTTTTGCAAATCAAATGGTAACATTCCCTACTCCACCATAGCAGCAAGGAAGCAGAAGCCTTCTTTCTACTTATTCCTTAACTGTACCTGCTTTATAGATTTTGAAGTAAAACATTTTGGTACAAGTTACCAACCAATTAAATTAGCTTTTGCTTTTTCAGTCAACTTTCGGACTCGTCCTCTACTAGAAGTTCCAAAAGTTAAAGAGGTGTCTTCGAACAACAGCTGCCTTTGCTCCTCTTCAGAGTCATCCTCATTATAGAAAGCTGTCCTTCGACCTTGGTTTCTAGTTCTCATGTGGGGTTCAGAGGCTTTGAGTTCTTCAAACTCTTCTTCCTCATCTATAGGATCATCTGTCTTTTTTCGGTTACTTCTCCTTAGCACCTTGACACTTGCAGGGACTAGGAGATCTGAATCTAGTGTTTGTGTCTTCATCTTCCTTTTCGGTTTTCTACCTCCACGATTCTTTTTCTGTAACAAATCTTCCTTTACATTATTAGTTTCAGGAAGAAAATTGCATGTTGAAGAAGGAACTACTTCATCTCTGATGGGATGCACATTATTTTGCTCTAAATTTTCTGGCTTTGCATACTGTAGTTTTTTGGGCTTTCTACCCCTTTTCTTGTGTATAATTTCACCACTAGTGGTATTAACTTCTACTTTAGGTTTCCTTCCAGGTCCCCTCTTCACAAGTTTTGATGGCTGTCCTCCATGGCCATTTACTTGAATGGTTCCTGGTACAAGAACGTTGTTCTTACAATCTCCTAAAAGGGAACAACAGTATACTTAATACATGGAATTTCTTTTGTTGTTTGACCCTCAAACTTGTCAATAAGGCCCCACTGGTACACTTGTATGTAATGATATAACCCAAATTATTTTATTAAAATGAGAAAAAAAGAACCTAGAAACAGCTCAATGATATTATTTATTTTCTAATTTAAAAAAGAGATTCTTAATGATCTCATGAGGGAGGTGAAGCTCACAGAAAATAAATATCTAAGTTAACATTGTGATTGATTATAAAGCTGGGATGACCAAAGGTTTCTTATTCCTAACTTAGAAATAAGTTACTCTTGGTCACAAACTTTGTTCTGAGACTGTTTCAAGAGGATTCAAAAACAACTAAATTGCAGATTTTCTTCACAGGCTTTTAACAGTTTTATCTCCTTATGTAATGAATGATGACTATAATCCTAGGAAATACTGATTATATATATAGCAATCAAAATCACCATGTGTGCCACCATTATCATGATTAAGATCCCACTTTAACAAACTCCATGATACAAGGCCATTATGCTTCAAAAAACAAAAAGAAAAGAGAGAAAATGCAGGCAATCAAATTCTAAACCTGTAGGATCTGGAGATCATGAATTACGTTTCTGCTGTAGAAAAAAATGCTATGACTTAGATAAAGGAAAAATATGCCATAGGAACAGTAGCTCTCTTTTTCCCTCCAAATTTCTGACATGTTTTTATTTGAAATGGTAGGTGATTTGCAATGCACTATTTTTTAGGAAATTCACAGATGGAAAACTGCTTTTAAAGAGAATACTTCTTCATAACATTTTTTTTGGTCACAGGTTTGAACTGTACTTTGTAAATAAGAAAATCATGGTTGGCCGGGCATGGTGGTTCATGTCTGTAATCCCAGCACTTTGGGAGGTTGAGGCGGGCAGAAATCACCTGAGGTAGGGAGTTCGAGACCAGCCTGACCAACACGGCGAAACCCCATCTCTACTAGAAGTATAAAAATTAGCTGGTCATGGTGGCCGGTGCCTTTAATCCCAGCTACTCAGGAGGCTGAGGCACGAGAATCACTTGAATCAGGGAGGCAGAGGCTGCAGAGAACCTAGATCATACCACTGCACTCCAGCCTGAGCGACAAGAGCAAGATTCTGTCAAAAAAAAAAAAAAAAAAAAAAAAAAAAAAAAAAAAAAAAAAAAAAAAAAAAAAAAAAAAAAAAAAAATCATGGTTGAAACCCACCAAAAGTCAGAGCCAAGTAGCAGAGAGAAAATGCAAAGCTTTCATTTTCTGACACCCCCACCCCCCATAATGAAATGACTCTCTTTAGATTAGTGGTTCAGAAAAAATGTAGGTGTGGACATAAAGGAGTAAGCATTTCCCATGGAGCAACTGACATTTAAACTGCTTGAGGATTGTGCAAATCTCTTTTGTTTTGCATTATGACTACAAGGGTTTTAAATATCCAGTACCTGTACCTACTACATGAATCCCTTGAAATGGCCCAACATTGTGTTTGGATATGTTTATGTACATTTTTCTGGGGCAGGGACTATAGGTCTCATCCACTTTATAAAGCAATATATAATGTAAAAAGGTTAAGGAAGAATGCATGAATGCAGCTTTCTTAAGGAATTCAGGCCAGGCGTGGTGGCTCACGCCTGTAATCCAAGCACTTTGGAGGCCAAGGCAGGTGGATCACCTGAGGTTAGGAGTTCAAGACCAGCCTGACCAACATGGTTAAACCCCATCTTTATTTAAAAAAGAAAAAAAAAAGGAATTGAGAATTTTTTTTTAAGTTTATTAATCACTGATCTGCAACTGTGTTGTGTTGTCCTGAGTACGTGAAAAGTTACACAGCTTAGGAACTGAATTTTTAATCAAATTTCAATATAAGTATGAAAGCAGTATACATTTTAAAATATTGACTAAACACTGAAAAAACATTTTGGATATAATATATTATTACAACTAATTTTACATGTTTATTTTCATTTTTTTTCCCATATTTTATTTTTTTATTGGACTTTAGGTTCTGGGTTACATGTGCAGATCATGCAGGATTGCTGCATAGGTACACACGTAGCAATGTGGTTTGCTGCCTCCATCCCCCCGTCACCCATATCTGGCATTTCTCCCCATGTTAACCTTCCCCAACCTCCCCAAACCCCGCCCCAGCTATCCCTTCCTTGGCAACCCCCACCCAACAGACCCCAGTGTGTGATGCTCCCCTCCCTGTGTCCATGTGTTCTCACAGTTCAACACCCGCCTATGAGAGAGAACATGCAGTGTTTGATTTTCTGTTCTTGTGTCAATTTGCTGAGAATGATGGCTTCCAGATTCATCCATGTTCCTGCAAAGGACATGAATTCATCCTTTTTTATGGCTGCATAGTATTCCATGGTGTATATGGGCCACATTTTCCTGGTCCAGTCTATCGTCGAGGGGCATTTGGGTTGGTTCCAGGTTTTTGCTAAACAGTGCCACTATGAACATATGTGTGCATGTGTCTTTATAATCCTTTGGGTATATACCCAGTGATGGGATTGCTGGGTCAAATGGAATTTCTATTTCTAGGTCCTTGAGGAAGCGCCACACTGTCTTCCACAATGGTTGAATTAGTTCTCCCACCAACAGTGTAAAAGTGTTCCTATTTCTCCACATCCTTTCCAGCATCTGTTGTCTCCAGATTTTTTAAAGATCGCCATTCTAACTGGCATGAGGTGGTATCTCAATGTGGTTTTGATTTGCATTTCTCTAATAATCAGTGATGATGAGAATTTTTCCTATGTTTGCTGGCCTCATATATGTCTTCTTTTGAAAAGTATCTGTTCATATCCTTCTCCCATTTTTGGATGAGTCTGTTTGTTTTTTTCTTGTAAATCTGTTTTAGTTCTTTGTAGATTATGGACATTAGCCCTTTGTCAGATGGGTAGATTGCAAAAATTTTTTCCCATTCTCTTGGTTGCCGGTTCACTCTAATGATTGTTTCTTTTGCTGTACGGAAGCTTTGGAGTTTAGTTAAGTCCCATTTGCCTATTTTGGCTTTTGTTGCCAATGCTTTTGGTGTTTTAGTCATGACCTGTTTGTTTTTACTAAACATGGTGGCTACAAAATTTTAAATTACATATTTGGATTGTATTATATTCCACTAGACAACACTGCTTGATTCTAAATAGTTAATTTAGGTGTCATTTTTTATAATAAATCACTGTTAATGTTGCCTAATAGACAGTAATAATGGTATTTCTACACAGTAGCAGTACTTGAGTATTTGTAATACTCAAATATTATAAATCAAATTGGCTATGAGACCAGACCTCCCCTATCACAATGCTAGAACCAATTTACCATATATAATTGATTCATGAATGAATAGAAGCAAGGCCAATATACTATTCAAACTCTAAATTCAGTTCAGAAAGAGCAGACATTACAAATGTGAAACATTCATATGCAAAGTACTTTTCTTATTTATTCAAAAACTTACTATCTTCTATATAATGGTCATTAAAAATGAGTCAACATGAAAGCTCAGAATCTTCTGGAGATATAGACATGTGAAAAAGAATAATTTGATCAACATTGTAAGTACCACCAAAGGTAATGAACGGGGTTTTCTGGCACATAAAGATAGAAGTGCTTGGCTTGGCGTGGTGAGTCACATTTGAAATTCCAATATGTTGGGAGGCCGAGGCAGATACATCACTAGAGGCCAGAAGTTTAAGACTTAGCCTGGTCAACATGGCAAAATCCTTTCTCTACTAAAAATACAAAATTAGCCAGGTGTGGTGGCGCACACCTATAATTCCAGCTACTTGGGAGGCTGAGGCAGGAGAATCACTTGAACCTATGAGGCAGTGGTTGCAGTGAATGGAGATCAGGCCACTGCACTCCAGCCTGGGTGACAAAGTGAGATCCTGTCTTTAAAAAAAAAGACGGAAGTGCTTGATTTCATCTAAAGAAGCTAGGAGAAGACTTCCTAAATAAGATGATATTTTAAGAGAGACACGAAAGGCAACAACCATTAAACTAGGGGAAAAAAGAGACATCCCAGCAAAAGAAGAAAAGAACAAAGACTCTGGAACTTCTAAGTGTTTAGTATGGCGAGATACAAAAGAGAGAAAGAAGGTAAAAGAACCTGCAGTGTTAGGCAAGAGCCAAGTAACAGAGTACTGTGTAACAGACAAAAAATTTAAAATCTGTTTCCATATATCATTTGAAGGCAACGAAGGATTTTCTCTGTGTCTATGTGCACACATGCACATGTGCTAGAGAGAAATAATCACAAAGATCACTTTGGCTGCAATGTGGGAGAGGGACTGGGTAAGAAAAAGTTGAAAACTGAGGCAGGAAGACTACTTAGGAAACTAGTCCAGGTAAGACATTATATAAGCCTTGAAATAAGATCATTGAGGTGAGAATGGAGAGGCAAGAACAGATTTATTAACTGTTACTAAAACAACAAAAACAAACAGTTGAACAGATTCAGTTGATTAAGAGAAGGCAAAGGATGACTCCTTGATTTTAAATTTACATGGGTAGATCCCAATGCCATTAATCAAAATGAGGACATTTCAATAGGGAAATTAAATTTTGAGAGAGGTTTCTGAAGACAACAATGAAGAAGAAATGTCTCAAACATACTTTGAAAGTCATGGTGCAAAATGCTTATTATTGGGCTGTCTGCTGCCAAGAAGCCATATTATTTAAACACGTCACATGCTATATTTTATTATTTACTTTCTCCATCTTTCAAACATAAAGACTTTACAAGAAAAAACCTTAAGTTGAAAGAACTTGAAGTATAGCAGTAAGGAGTCAAAAGTTGTATTCTACAGTTGTAGACAACCCTAATGCATTATTTAGTAAAAGTCCATCTAGAAAAATAAGTTGTTTAGTGATCCAATCATTTTTTTTTTGTGACGGCGTCTCACACTGTTGCCCGGGCTGGAGTACAGTGGCGTGATCTCAGCTGACTGCAACCTCTGCCTCCCAAGTTCAAGGGATTCTCCTGCCTCAGCCTTGAGCTGGGACTACAAGCACCCACAACCATGCCCAGCTACATTTTTATATATTTTTTTAAATAGAGACGGGATTTTACTATGTTGGCCAGGCTGGTCTTAAATGCCTGATCTCATGATCCGCGCTTTGGTGTCCCAAAGTGCTGGGATTACAGGCGTGAGCTACCGTGCCCAGCCTACTTAAACATTTTTCTAAAAAAGTGAAGAATGCCACAATCGGTCAACTATATTCTATTTAATTTAAACTTTTATATATTTCTTTTTTTTTTTTTTCTTCTGAGACAGAGTATCATTCCACTGACAAGGATGGAGTGCAATGGCACAATCATAGCTCACTGCAGTAAATTTATCAACTAATACAGATGTGTGACTTTTAAGTGGGCAACCTGAAAAGTGGATATAAATGCTAATTTCAAAAAAAGCATCATATTTAAGAAGGATCTACTGTATCTTGAAAATACCACCTTACCTTGCTCAATGACAGCTGATGACTTTGAAAGAGTGGATGCCTTTGGGAGTACGGATGACTTCATTTTACGTTTGACTGGCTTTTCCTTTTCCATGTTTTCTTTTGCAGAATTATTCCTAGAGCCATGACTAAAACTGGATTGACCAGGACTGGAAAGAGTATTTAAAGCTTTGGAATGTTTCACGGAATTCTCTAGTACTGAAACACACATACAAAAAGTTAAAGATTAAGAGTTACTAAACCTAAAGATAAGAAAAAAGGTTAATCTGAATGATCTGAATCAGTCAAGATGAGAAAACCTGAAGGATGCTTAAAGCTTTCTTAGGAAATACACTTTCTAATAGGAAAAAGCCATATCCAACTAGAAACTCTTAAGTTTCAGCTCTTTTAGAAGCTGTCCCATCATTTCAAAATCACAAAGGCAAGTCTTGCCAAATTGCTAGCTACTATGGGTACTATGATTTAAATTCAGGTAGTTTACATCAGAGTTGCCATTTTTAAGCATTAGTCTATAATGATCTAAACTTCAATTTAAATTTTCTTATTAAAAAAATATTTTTAACAGGAAAACAATGGCAAAAACAGCAGTGTCTCTAAAATTACTAAAACCCAGCATATTACATTTGGCAAAGTAATAAATTAAGACAATCACCATACACGTTTCAATTTAGAAATTGAGTCTTACTTGTTTTCCCTGGTATTGCAGACGCATTTGCTTTTGTAATAAAAGTTTTTGTGGCTGAAGAAGTAGATGGTTGCTCAGTGATAATCGGATCTACAACCACTCGGTTGCTTCTGGTTCGAACCACAGAACTAGACTCTGTTTTACCGTTTATCTGAGCAGCACTGTGTCTTGGTGGTATTGATCGTGTAGGTGTAGAGAATGCAGAGGTAGAGATTTCTGACTTTAGCTGGGGTTTTAAGATCCTTTTTTTCCTTTCAGGGCTGTAAATAAAATAGTATTGTCAGTCACTCTTATAGCTCTATGTGAATGAATGAAACAGTTTTACAATATTGTTGGATTCAATATTTGTACTATTATGAAATATGTTAAAATATGAGATTTGTAGTGGATTTCATATGATTGTGAGCCTTTGAAAGTGAATATTTAGTGAAGGATCGCTGTAAATGCTAAAGTTATATGACGGAAAGCATGATGCCATCACTACCCTAAAAATGCTGTTTTACTGTATAGATTTAGCAGTTTGAATTTAAGCACTTACACTAGTATAGCTTTAGTTAAAAGATTAAAAATCCTCCACATCATAGGAACTTGCATGTCAAATATATCATTCTGCAATATAGGGAATAGTAAAGGAAGTATTAAAAAACACCAAGTTCTATCATTTAGATTAAAGTTATAGATGAGTTAGTGGTATCTAAAAGAAATTAAATACCTTGATGCAGCACTACTGGAAACAGAGCTGCTTCTGTTTCTTTTCTTCCTCCTTTTGGTTATGGTATTTCTTTTATGAAAACGAAGAGCAGATTTATAATCTGATAAAACTGAACTAATGTGTTCTTCAAAGAAAGCAGACAAGCGCAAACTCATGCTGTAAATCTGTGAGGACAAAAGTAGTGTTCAAACATTCCTCAAAGGAAAATACCTTTGTCCAGCAAATATTGTAAGCATTTTTCTAGTAAAAACTCTTCAGAATTTCAATATTGCTTTTTACATCCCTTTTTCCTAATCTTTTGATGAAAAGGTAAAGTGAGCCATTTTAACAATTAAGTATTTTTGTGTTTAGAATAGGGATCTTCCAAGTTTTGAGATTCCTACTCTAAACTGAAATGGCTCACACAGACAGAACTCTTTATTGTCAATTCTATTAACACTGTAACTATCCCAAAGGTTTGAACCTGTTTTCTACCTAGCACTACCTTCTATTCTTTCTCATTTCATTGCTACATATAGCACTCCTTCATGGTGTCATGTCTTGTCAAAGAGTGTTAAATTGTATTTTTACTTATTTGTACAAATCATTCACAAAGAATGCTCCATAAAGGCAGATAATAGCTAGAAAAGTTAAGCCCAGGTGGCTCTGGTGCATACCAGGACAATTTGCATCTATCTATTCAATCGCACTATTTCCAGATAAGTAACCACTCCCAGACAAAGATAACATCATTCTTATTTCATACAAGGAGCTGAGTAGAAAGTTATAAATTCTTTTTCTAGTAGGACACCATTAAGAACATAACAGAAAGTTAACTTCGATCTAAATTTTAAGTAAAAGCAACATTTAGTCACCTAACATACTCCTCTAACTTAATCTAGTCATAAAAGAAAATAATTTAATTATATACCCTTGATCTTTTGCTTGGTGTATATGCTTTGGAATTACTAAAAATAAGTCTGACATCTTTACATAACTCCATTGGTGACTCGTAATTCCCAGCCTCTAAAGTTTCTCTAACGGTAGCAAAATCCATGGGCGTGTCAATGATGTCTCTGTAGTCCTAGGAGAGGGAAAACAGGTGGTGTTATCATGATTATTACTACCACAAAGCATCACTTCTCAGCACAGGGATTCACATTGGATTTTTATGATGACTACAAGTCCTAGAACTGTTAATAATCACTCCTGTTCCCCTTATCAAGAGTCCCTTTTTTCTAGTAATTCTTTTTTATTTCTTATTCTCTTCCTTATATTGAAATCAGTAAGAATTTTCTTATTCAAGAATATAGAAGTTATTAATGTTTCGCTGGAGACCTGGGGGATGGTTGTATAGGAAAAGGGAAAGTAAAAGAGTAAGGAAAAACTCCAGCTCTACAACCAAAAGTCTGAAGGAAAAACTCAAAACTTTATACTATTTATAAATTCTAAAGGTCTGACTCATTGAAACACAACTGTAACTTGGAAATAAAAATAGTGGATGTCCACCAACATCCCATTTATGTGGACACCTAAGTTCTAGTAATCTCAACTTCAGTATTACAATTGGGAGCTTTGCATGGTAGTAATCCAGAACTGTGAATGTAAATAGTTGTCACGAACTCTATGCATGTCATTTCAAGGAGAGGTAGAATCACCTGAGGTGTCTACCTAGTCGACTGAGCATAAAATAAGGTAACAGACTGGAACCAATAAAAACACACAATGGAAGAGGAAGGGCAACAATAAATTATTATAATATAGTATATAATTCTAAAATTATCAGAATATGGCTTTTTTTTTTTTTTTTTTTACAACGGACAAAGAGTATTGCACACCACCCCTATCCCCACCACATTTTTTTGGGAGACACAGTCTTGCTGTTGTCCAGGTTAGAGTGCAGTCACAGCTCACTGCATCCTTGATGTCACAGACTTGCAATCGTCCCACCTTAGCCTCCCAAGTAACAGGGACTACAAGCAGATGCTACCATGACCAACTATTTTTTATAGAGATGGGGTCTTACTATGTTGCTCAGACTGGTCTCAAATTCCTGGTCTTAAATGACCTGCCTGCCTTGGCATCCCAAAGTGCTGGGATTATAGGCATGAGCCACCACACCTGGCTTGCACCTTTTCAATACTCCCTCAGTATGCAACTGCATTTTTTTGAAGTGTAACAACTTAACTTTGCACCATCAAGTTAAATTATGATTAAATATGTCTGACCATGAAGAAGGTGCCATATAAGGCAGGATTATTGCCTTTACAAATTTTTATTTCTTCCTAATAGGTATGCTTTTTATTTACTTTTCTTGCCTTATTGCATTGGCTAAAATTTCCAGTACTACGCTGAATAGCAGTGATGAGGTTGAACATTTTTCAGTCATCCCTAATTCTTAGGGGAAAAGCACTCAGTTTGTCACTAGTAAACATGATGTTAGCTATAGGCTTTTTTAATAGATGTTCTTTATCAAGTTATGAATGTTTTCCTTTATTCCTAGTTTTCTTAGGGTTTTTATAATGAATAATGTCTTGTTTCTTCAGATTCTGTATTTGTCTATTTGCCACCTATTCACAGGGCCAATGATGATCTGGTACCTGGGGGCCTTACAGACCTGGGGCAACCAATTCTTAGTAAGGGGCTCCACTGAGAACATGTCTTTCATATACATACCAATGAATCCCAAGTATAAAGCCCCAATCAGCTCCTTTTCTCACTCTCACACACTAAGCCAGTATTTCCCTGTTTTAAATCATCCCAGGGCCAGGACCAGACAACTAGAGACCACTGGCATTATTCAAACTAGCCAATAATAAGCTGTTTACTGTGACCTACCTTACATTTCCTGCAGAAACCCCAATAAAGGATTTCTAAGCTTTTCTCTAGTTTTGGTCTCTCCTAACTAACCAAAACCTAGCACTTCCCCAGTGGCCCTGTGTGACAAGTGGTGACCTCTTACTTTTCTGGGACACTTTTTAACTTTTTTCTTATGAGATAGGGTCTCACTCTATTGCCAGCCTAGAGTGCAGTGGTATGATCTTGGCTCACCGCAATGTCCACCTCCCAGGCTCAAGAAATCCTCCCACCTCAGTCTCATGAATAGCTGGGACAACAGGTGCATGCCACCGCAGCTGGCCCATTTTTTTTTAAAGACGAGGTTCTGCCACGTTGCCCAGGCTGGTCTCAAACTCGTGAGCTCAAGTGATCCACCTGCCTTGGCCTCCCAAAGTGCTGGGATTACAGGTGTGAGCCACCATGCCCAGCCTGGGACTCTTAAGTATAATAAATGTCTTCCTTCCAAGGTTTTTAATTTCCTTCCATGACCACACTGACTTTACTATAACCAAAATGCATATTCACAGAAAAAATAGGTGTGAAATTTTGTCAAATGCTCTTTCTGTATTACTTGACATGATCATGGGATTTTTCTTTGTTAACCTATTAATATGATGGATTACACTGTATAGTGAACCATCTTTGTATCTCTGGAATAAACAGCACTTAGTCACGGTATACAATCATTTTTTAATATATTCCTGAATTCTATTTGCTGTTATTTGGTTAAAGTTTTTTCTTCTTTTCTACTGTTTTTGTCTGGTTTTGAAATCAGGGGAGCACTGGCCTTCATAGAATGAGTTAGGGATTTGAGTTTTTCTATTTCCGGAAAAGATTATGTAGAACTTGTGTTAATTCTTCTTTAAATGTTTGGTTGAATCCTCCAGTGAAGCCATCTGGAACTAGACATTTCTTTTTGAAAGCTTATAATCACAAATTAAATTTCCTTAATAGTAACTCAGTTATCTGTTTCATACTGGGTGAGGTGTGGTAGTTTATACTTTGAGTATTGGTCTATTTCATGTAAGTTATCAAATTTATGTGCGTACATTTTTGGAGTATTTTTTATTTTTACTTTATTATCCTTCTGGTATTTGCAGGGTCTACAGTGATACATTCTATATCATCCCTGATATTAGTAATCTGTCTTCTCTTTTTAGCTTTCTAAATCTTAACAGAGGCTTGATTTTTGTTGATCTTTTCAAAGAACCAGCTTCCAATTTCATAGATTTTCTTTATTGTTTTTCTTTTTTGAGTTTCACTGATTTCGGCTCTTTATTATTTCCTTTTGTTGGCCTGCTTTTGGTTTATTTTAATATTCTTTAGGTTCTTGAGAAGTGAGCTTCAATTACTGATTTGAAACTACTCCTTTTCTGCTGTACTCTTTACTATACTTTACTACTAGAAATTTTCCTGCATTGCTTTAACTGCGTCCTACAAATTTTGATATACTGAATTTATTTTAATGGAGGTGAATGCATTTTTTTTAATTCCCATGAGATTTGTTTGATCCATAAATTATTTACAGTTGGGCTCTTTTATTAACAAGTTCTTGGAGATTTTACATTATTGGCTTTACAAACTGTAGATTTGGGCAAAATATAAAAATGATTTTTTAAAAACGTTCTGTAATATTTTGGTTAAATGTAAAATTTATTTATGTGGAATACTTAATTTTTCTTCGCTCACATCTTGGGCTTCCACCATGAAGTATATAGTACATGATAGCTGCTCAATACAATTCTGTTGAATAAATGAACGTTGTAGAATATTTAGCCCATTCATTTCCATCAAAAAGTTTAATTATTAACATCTTGCTTTGAATATTTGATTAAACTCAAAATGTGAACTAATATTTTTATATAAAAGGTGAAATATGAAGTGCATGATCTGCCTTAAATATTCCACTCAGGTAAGGATGATATAGTTAATTCAGAATTATAAAAAGTAGACTATCCAAAGTTTCCCTTTTCTCCTCTGTGACAGTAATTAACAACAATACACCTTCATCATGGAGTATCACATAGGCAAGAGATCACATTTTTCTTATTTCTACTGCTTTTTGTCTGCCAACACGTTTAGCTGCTGGGACGGGTTCTAAATATTTGCTAAATACTGTTCTCACTACTTTGAATACGTAAAAGATAGCCATAATCTTATATAATTTTATATATTTTCAGTATGAAAAGTTAATGACTTTATATAAAAATCCATTTGCCTATTGTCTAAAAACATCAACTGTAACTGTGGTGCACTGGATATAAGGAATACAGCTTCCCATTGTGGCTTTGTCTATGAACTGCTACAAATAAACAGCTAACAGCTTTGTCTATACATCTTGAAGAGCTGAGTCTCACGTTCAACATCAGTAAGTGAGTGGCTTGGAGCAGTCTCAGGTCTCCTCCATTTTTTCTGTATGACTGTTTTAATATTTTCTTTTTGACTTCTAACTGTTGATTTTTTTTTTCCACTCTTTTTCTAGGTAAAGATTTTATTCTTGGATATCCTGATCAGGAATCATAGTTTGTCAAATGTTTACCAATCCTAGAAAATTACTCGCCATTGGGTGTGGTGACTCATGCCTGTAATCCCAGCACTTTGGGAGGCTGAGGTGGGTGGACCATGAGGTCAAGAGATGGAGACCATCCTGGCCAATCTGGTGAAACCCCATCTCTACCAAAAATACAAAAATTAGCTGGATGTGGTGGCACGTGCTTGTAATACTAGCTACTCAGGAGGCTGAGGCAGCAGAATCTCTTGAACCTGGGAGGTGGAGACTGCAGTGAGCCAAGATTGAGCCACTGCACTCCAGCCAGGCAACAGACCAAGACTCTCCTTCAGACACTTCATCTCTTTATCATTCTGTGTACCATTCTGTAGAATTTGTTTAGATCTTTATACTTACTACATCTTTAATCTGTTTTTAAAACTGTCCGGTAAGTTTAATTTCAGTAATTTTACATTTCATTTCCAGAATTCTATTTAGTTGATTTTAATATGTATTCTCTTTTTTTCTCAACATATTTTTCCCGTTTCTTATTCTTCCATTTCTTCCTTTAACCAAAATTATGTATCAAAGTTTAACTCAGCATTTCTTTTTTCTTGGTGGTACATAAAACAGTCATCTTACAATGAATGTCATCTCTCGTTTTTTAATAAAGTATAGTATTTGAGAATAATCTATTACTCAAATTTTTGGCGAGAAGGTACTAATATTTCCATTTCTGTTGTCTTATACATGGTGGATCACTCCCTTATATAGGTGTGTGTATGTGTGTGTGTGTGTATACATATATATTTTAACCATTAGTTAATTCAGTAAGGATTAACATTTTTTTCCATAATGGATTTCTACATAAGGGTAGTGCAAATTTGGATTCTAAGTCCATTTATAGCTTAAGTTTAGGAAAATTTCTCTTCTCTGACACTAGAGTAACTGGGAGAAACATTCTTTGTTGTGAAAGGAATTATTCAATTCGCCTTTTCATTCAGGGTGCAGTTCTTCAATACTTCTGTTTTAGGGTTGGGTTTCAGCTCCAAATTCCTTTTTCACCACTGCCCAAGGCCTTAATTATCTTTATATAGTATTAATACTTGTGCCTCTAGAAGATAAAGGTTGTCTTATTTCTATCCCTTCTTTTCAATGTAAAGCCCAGAATACAAAGACCTAAAACAATGAATAAATTGCAACTTATTTTTTAAAAGCATACATAGCTGAGCTTGCATGAACCAAAGCAAAATTTGTAAGTTGTGAAAACAAAGAGAGAACTGAAAGCCAGAACATTATAGCATCAGCTCAGTCCTAGGTTTTTTTTGAAAGGTGAGGTTCAAATTAGCTCAATTTATCACATTAGTGAAATTAAAAACCTGTCTTCCACATTTCACATTCTATGTTTCTGGTATTTTAAATGATAAGAAAAAATTCATTTTCTAATATTTATCTGTTGATGAAATTTATAACACTTATAAAAAAACAGATAATGATATCTGATGATACCACATGTAGGTCATTATGTCTTATAAAACATTTTTTATATTCATTTCAAACTATGAATGCTATCTGAAATGTGTAACGTTTAATTACTCTTTAAAGGAATTAGAAATCACTCTACACTAAATTCAGATTGCTATGATTGCATGCCAAAATAAATACTTATATCATGTTTCCTTAGCTCTTTTTACCGTGTATTCCATAAAGATTATACATTGGCCTAACCTAAATATATACAATAATATATATACAATATATATATAATATATATATAATATATACAATAATGTCACCTTACATTCGTATACAGCGCTTCACATTTTAAAACTATTTTTATGTATTCTCTTTACATCTCCATAATCCTATAAAGAGGTGGGTATTATTATTTTTTTCCCTTGATAACTGCCATAATAAATTCATGGAATCCACATAAGGAAGACAATAAAAAAAGTAAACAACAACAAAAAATTCAAATGAGAAAATGAAGGGACTTGCTCAAAGTTACACAACTGGTAGGAATAGAATAACCCAATTTTTACAATGTCTTAGTTCAGGGCTCCTTCCATTTCACCCCACTATTCAAAATTTGAATTACCTACATAACCAAATGGATGATACCATGTATAATAAAGAAATAAGCTATAATCATAAAAAATACCTAAAATAGCCAATTGTCATGTAAAAGATACATAGCAAACTGACGGGTAAAGAAAATATTTCAAAAATTCTTACTGGATATTCAAGGAGATCTACTGGCTGACGGAAAGGCTCTGAATCTTCACATTGAAATATGAGATTTAACAATTCTTCACACTGTTTCTTCCATGCTTGAATATCGTAAGACTGGGCTCTATTACGTAATCTTCTTCTAGGCTGATGGTCCTGCAATAAAAGGGTTCAAATATATTAATAAAAGAGCACTTACCCAATAAAATTTGTATTTTTAATGCAGCCTTAGATAATCGGGTAATATATAATAATTCAAATAAAAGAAAATATTAACCAAGTTCTGAAAAACATGCATTTTGTAATTGAAACTAATTTGAAATACTTAATGTCTTTTAAAATGCTAAGAATAAAAAAAAAAGCAAAAAGCTCTTAACACATTTTAATTCATATAAAGTACTTCTGCTAAAACTAAAACTATATTACCTTTCTTTTTCGAGTAGAAGTTCCTGGCATATCAGCGTCTTTCTCTTCTTCCTTTGAGGCAAGAATTTATCAGATTCATAAAACATTTTAGATGTCATTATACTTTATAGTTGATTAATTAGCAATTATTTCCTTTACATACTGGAACACCTGTAATGTATATGCTGGGGCACTTTACTTACTCATTGAAAAGTCTCCCCCCATTAAAAAAATTATTTGTAACTATAACAAGAATATTCTAATGCCAGTTTTTTTTAAAGTTAACTACACTAGACAAAAAATAATTTTCACAATAGCTTTTACCCGAAAACCACCATATGTAAATTCTTTTTATATAGTGAATATCAATATAGTAATCATAATGAAACATTACATACCTCAGAATCAGACAAAACTTTCTTCTTCATTGAATTATAAAGTGGAATTATGTTATAACAAGTCTGATCCCTACATAACAAGGAAATGTTAACATGTAAGATTAGAGCCATGATAAATTTTTTCCTAAAACCATATATATGTTCCTAAAACCATATATGTATGTGGCCATATATATAGTTTTTTATATATATAATCTATACATAAAAAATATCTATGTATCTATATATAAAATATGTATATGACCATATATGTGGCTATATCATACACACACACACACACACACACACACACACACAAAACACACACACACACATTTTTTTTTGAGATGGAGTTTCGCTCTTATTGCTCAGGCTGGAGTGCTATGCCACATCTCAGGTTACTGCAACCTCCACCTCCCGGGTTCAAGTGATTCTCCTGCCTCAACCTCCAGAGTAGCTGGGATTACAGGCATGCACCACCAAGCACAGCAAATTTTGCATTTTTAGTAGAGATGGGGTTTCCCCATGTTGGTCAGGCTGGTCTTGAACTCATGGCCTCAGGTGCCACCCTCGGCCTCCCAAAGTGCTGCGATTACAGCAGCCACCACAGGTGAGCCATCGCACCTGGCCAACTAAAACCATATTTTAAAATAAAGGTTGGAACTGAAGCCTTGCATTCTCCATAGGCTTACTCCACTAACTTGTGCACACACATTTGACCCTGACCCCTCCACTCTATGTAGAGCTTTCAGTGTGGCCTGGCTATATCATTACACCAAACCCAATTCTCATACCCCAGTCTTTGCTTAGGTATCTGCTGTGCTTCTTCCATTCCTGTCTTCAAACAGCTAATATGCTTCTTGACTCCCAACTCTTTCTTTTATAAGTATTTCCTACAACTTTGTTCTTAGGCATCTTCTCTTGACACCGTACCTTTTGCTGTGATAACTTTATATATTTGTGGTTTATCTGTGTAAATGCAAATTTCCTGCAATGTGTCCTCACCTTTCTCCTGAGCATCCTACCACCACCTAAAATTCCACACGTCTAAACTTAATAGTGACTCCCTTGTTCCTTTTTCTATTTTTTTTAAACAACATATCATTGAGAATCTTGGTTTTTCACTATTTCTTCCACTTCCTCCTCCTTATAAACCCAATCAGTAGTCAATTGCTGTGAACTCTATCCCCAAGGGTGTCTGGGCATCTGTCCCATTCTCACTTCCATAAATTAAGCCCTCATCACCTCTTACTTGGTCAACTGTAGCAGTCAATCTGCTATTTATGCTTTTTGTCTCTTCTCTATCAATTAATATTTGACACTGCAGTCAAATTAATACTTTTAAGGAACAGTATAAAACATTTTATTCTCATGTTAAAACACTTTCAACAGCCCTTTGCTCTCAGAGCTCGTATTTTAAAAGTCTACCTTAGAATGGCAGGCACTCAAGGCCACCCAAGATTTGGCCCCAACTCAAATTTATAGCACTGTATCTTACTATGACTTCTACTCATATACTGTCTACTTCACCCAATTTATATTGCCCTAATTAAACCTTCCTACCTCATGTTACTCCTTATCCCTGGAATGGCTTTCTTTTCATCTAATGTTTCCTTGATCTAACAATATCTACCTTGTATATAATGTCTTCTTAACATATTTCTCCTCCCCTATATCTGAATCCCCATCATCACAGCAAAAAGTGATCCCATTCTCATCTAAACTTTTATACAATTCTCTTATTACTTGTCAGTTTTCCTTATAGTTTTTTCGACTTATCTATCCCATGAAGCTGTATTAAGAGGATAAAAACAGTACCTCCAAGAATCCATTACATTACTTTGTATGTATCAATTGCTTGAAATGTTGTCAAATAACTCAATTAAAAAGTACAATAATCAAAATTTCAAATACTTGATACCTTGAAAACTAGCTGCTATAAAAAACATTTTTAAACAACTATACACATCTAAAAAAAATGCCACCAATTTATTTTTAGGCATGTACAATCCAAATACTTTAAGTATTACATGAATCTGCTTTCAAAGACATTTCAAAGTAGCTGGTTGAAAGAAATACATTTCACAGACTATTCCAAATGTATTAACAATTTTCATCTAAATTATTTCACTGAAATATGAATATACCATGTCATGTAGTTCTATCGATTTTCTTCAAAAAATAAAATAAAAAAAGACATACATACACATAGTTATAACACTTATAAAAAATTACTGACATTAAGAGTCTTCAGAATAACAATTACTAATTTCACTAAGAAAAACAAAAGCCTGGCAATAGAAGCCCCTAAACCATTCGGAAAGCAAAAGATTTCTTAGGTAGAGAAAGGGTACAAAATTTACCTTACTACTTATGTTTGGTGTTTTCTTACACTTAAATGACCTGCATTCCTCGGTTTAAAACAATTAATCAAAAAGGAACCCAAAGATTATGTTCATTAATGAGAATGATGCAGGGATGTTTATTTAAAAAAAAAAAAAAAAAAACTGAATAATCCTGAATTTTTTATTATCTAAAAATGAAAGTTGGTAATAGCTATGTAAGTAAGCTTTTAAAATGCACTGTTACTACTTCTCAACCAGAAAAAAAAATTCAATATAAATAACATGGAATCAGAGCAGTCTTTGTACAAAATATATAATTCATTTCTCTGCCTTCAACCTAGGAGACTCAATTCATTCTATGACTACATAAAATCCTTAAGGCAGGGAAGGGAAAGTAATTCTGCCTTACTAAATAGTGGTTATCACACTTGTTATCGGATCAATGAGGAAGTAAACTTGACTTTGAAGAAGAATCATGAAAGTTAAATTCAGTCTCTTGCTGGACTACTTAAATACTTGTTAATATACTTGACAGGGGCAATATACTGTTAGGATGAAAACTTCTCAAATCAGATGGCAGACACTCATTTACTGTGCAACCTTATACATGTTAACCACCAAAGGCCATAGTTTCCTCAATGCAAAATTACAGAACTGATCACTTCCACCCATAAGATTATTTGGGTTAGAAGAGTTAACATAGGTAAAACATTACATGTTAAGTAAATCTTTACTATGACAATTGTCCAACAATTAGGTTGAGGAAAGAATCTGTTTTTTAACTGTAAAACACAATGGTAATGCAATTTTTTTTTTAGTTCATTCTGTTTTTAAATTTTTTTTATTTTTTTTGAGACATAGTCTCACTCTGTCACCCAGGCTGGAGTGCAATGGTTGCACTCTCAGCTCACTGCAACCGCCACCCTCCTGGGTTCAAGCAGTTCTCCTGCCTCAGCCTCCCAAGTAGCTGGGATTATAGGTGCGTGCCATCATACCCAGCTAATTTTTGTATTTTTAAGTAGGGATGGGGGTTTCACCATGTTGGTCAAGCTGGTCTCGAACTCCTAGCCCCATGATCCACTCGCCTCAGCCTCCCAAAGTGCTGGGATTACAGGTGTAAGCCATCGTGCCTGGCTTGATTTCATTCTTAATATTAGCTAATGAACTAAATGTTTCTTCTGAAACCTGGGATTGAACCAAGGACCTTTGGATCTTCAGTCTAATACTCTTCCAACTGAGCTATTTCAGCTACTCTTAAATGCTGCTTCTTTACCAACAGTATCTTTTCTATTTTAAGAGTAACTATAGTGCCATCAATTATTACAACTATCATAATTAAGTATGAAAAAATAACTTACTTTATAAAATGCAGAAGAAGATCAGTCACGAATTTAGCAGATTTCACAATAGGGCTTCCAGGCTCATTAAATGTTCGTGTATTATGCTCTATGTATCGAACTTCCCACATTAGGGAAGAAACCCGCCTTAAAAAAACAAAATATATGTCTCAACTTCCTTATATTTAGAAATATGTGTACATGATTTAAAACCAAGATATTCCAACTTTTCAATTTAAGTCTAAGCCAATCATAAAAACCATTGGTCTATAGTCATTTTCAAAGAAACATAACTAAATTTGTATTCGGGGAAAAAAGAGAGGGGCAACCATAATTATGTATTTGCATGTAAGATGTCTGGAACACACCAGGCTATTAACAATGCCCTCTTTTTGGAAGGGAGAATGTCTAAAACGGGAGTGGCAGGAGAGGAGACACAGGAGAGTTTTAAGTTTTGGCTTTATATATTTTTATCATGAATACTGTCATTTTTTGGTAATAAAGACGCCTGACTTCTGAACAAAAAAGGACACAAGTAATTTAAATTTAATTATATTACTGGTAATCAAATGACATGTAAAAATGAAAAGTTAACTGACAGCCCACTTATGAGATACAAAACCACAAACATATAGTATGTTAGTTTACCAAGAAACTTAACTAAAAGAGAATTATTTTCTGAACACTTAATTGACAATGCCAAAATAAATTCTGCAGTTTTATAATTTTATTTCTGTAAGTAAATAAAAAACCAAGGGCAACTTTTGAGAATATTATCTGTGTCCTGACTTAAAATAATAAAGAAAACAGAAAATCTTAATGATTGTGAACAGGAATACAATTACATGGAATAAAAAAAACACTATATAATTGTGGACACAGAAACATAAAGAAAAATTTCTGTGCATTTCAAATAGATTCACAAGGCTCACTCTAAAAACAGAATCACAGGTATCTTCAGTGTATCATATAGAAAACTGTGTGTAAAATAAAACATTAGATTAGTACCAGCAGGGCAAACTGACAGTAGTAGTTTAACAAGAGACTGAACTAGAAGTATCAGACAGGAAAAAACAAACTGCAAGAAGTCTTACGCCAATGAGCAAAGGAGGAAGCAAAAACCTTTAAACAGTGATATGGCACTGGAAAGCATCGTTGTATTGAGTAAGAACAACACTCAGGTTTATAACTGAGTTTCTTATCACGTTGGAAAACAGGCAATTTCTAATTCATGTAAGTACTGTGTTCCAAAAGTTTTTTTTTCCCCCTAAATTGGCTAAAAAACTAGGGTAATGCTAAAAGCCTATTTAAAATATAATGTATCTTAAAATACAGATGTTCCTCAACTAACGATGGGGTTACATCCTAATAAACCCATTGTGAGTTCAAAATACCATTAAGTCGAAAATGCATGCAATATACTTAACCTAGCAAATATTATTGCTCCGCCAAGCCTACCTCAAACATGCTCAGAACATTTACATCAGCCTACAGTTGGGCAAAATCATATGGCAACACAGTATGCTGTACAATATGGGTTTAACCTCATTATCACAAAGCTGACTGCGAGCTACTGGGAGCTATAGCTCACTGCTGTTCCTCAGTATCATGAAAGAATACATCACAAGTCCAGAAAAAGATCAAAATTCAAAATCAAGCAAGGTTTCTATCGAATGCATATTCCTTTCACATCACTGCAAAGCTGAAAAATCTAAGTCAAATCATTTTAAGTCAGGAACCTTATGTATAGTATATGTCAGCAATTATCATGTTGAGCAATGTGTGAGATGTTTACAACAATACTGGAAGATATGAGCAGCTTATCTTTCTAGTGGCAGTCCAACTAGTGTATGTATACAAACAAAATTCTTTCCTTCTCATCCACCCATGTTTTGTTTTGTCTTGTCTCTGAAGCACTAGGTTTAACTTCCAATCTTTAGCAATTTAGAGGGTAAGGGAGAAAGAGGAATATAGTGAAGAACTCATTTAAACTTCCAACACCTGATACTGAAAAAGACTTGAGGACTGCTTTGAGGGTAGGATGGTTGGGAAGCACATAGCATAGGGGATTTTCTTTTTATCTCTATGCTTTTGGAGAAATATCAAGGAAGCAACAGCAATTACACCTAACAAGATCAGAAAAATCTTTAGAACCTAAAGTCTAATATCTTAGTTTTCTTTATTCCAGTGGTTCTCAATCAAGGATAATTACACTTCCCAGAAGACATGGAACAATGTCTGAATACATTTTTGGTTTTCAAAACTAGGGGGGCTGCTACTGGCATCTAGTGGGTACAGGAAAAGGATAGCCCCTCACAATGAGATACAGAAACACAATTTAAGTAAGAAAAAGAACCAAAGGCACATTTTACATAGAAAAACATTACTACAAAATATGAGTAAAACTTCTCTAAGTTAAAAAGAATAATAATGGAAAGGACTTCAGTAATAACTGGTCACAGAAAGAAACTTTTAATGCAATGTTATACAAATTAAATTGTTGGACTGCAAAGTAAAAGTCATAAAAAAAATTAAAACTAAAAACAGGATTCCACTATGTAAAAACTGGAAACATTTTTTTTAACAAAACATTTTAGGTACTAGAAGATTAAAGACATTTATCAAAATTACCTAGATAATGCAAATTAATCAAAATTATGCCTGGGCTGTTTAATTCTGTTTCATGATAAACTACAACTATGAAAAACTGAATATTTTCAAGTATCAGTGTTTTAAGTAATGAAAGGTGAATATAGGCAAAATAAGAACAAAATACTTAATAGAAATATAAAATTTTTATTATATACTCTATTAAAAATCAATGAACAAATACATATTTTAATGTTATTTAGGAGAAAATGAAATACTTTGCCATGCTTTATAAAGCACAACATAAAGACAGTGAGCATCAAATCATTTCACCCTCTAGGAAAAACAGTATCTAGGAACTGTATTTTAAGTGTCTAAAGACCAGCAGCATGGGCATTACTGTTAGAAATGCAGAATCTCGGCCAAGTGCAGTGGCTCATGCCTGTAATCCCAGCACTTTGTGAGGCCGATGAATGCCGATCACAAGGTCAGGAGTCTGAGACCAGCCTGGGCAATATGGCGAAACTCCATCTCTACTGAAAATACAAAAATCAGCCAGGCATGGTGGTGTGCACATGTAGTCCCAGCTACATGGGAAGCTGAGGCATAAAAATCGCTAGAGCCTGGGAGGTGGAGGCTGCAGTGAACCAAGATTGCACCCTGCACTCCAGCCTGGGTGACAGAGCGAGACTGTCTCAAAAAAAAAGAAATGCAGAATCTCAGGTCCTACTCTAATCTACTGAATAAAATTCTACATTTTAGTATAATCTCCACGTGATTCATATGTACATTTGTATACACAAAAAGTTGAGAAACACTGCTAAATAAGATTAGTAAATGGAAAGATCACCAGCTTTAATAGTAGCTATCAAATGGTTCTAACCTGTAAAACCTGTTTTCCAGTCTTTGTTTAATTGTACTTAGATCCGTTGGATATGCCACTACTGTGCAATACATGGGATAGGCTTGCAGATCCACAGGGGCCACAAATGCTGAAGCAATATCTAAAACAAATAGATAAGTTTGTGAATTTATTTTTGTATGCTTAAAATAACTAAGGAAAAATTCTGTTTGAAATAAGACTTAAAAAGTCCTAACCTACATAATCATTAGTCTGCCATTGTCTTTTCATAAAAAATATAACTCAGCAGACATAAAAAAATAGTCTCACTTTTTATTATGTCTACATTTACATTGCCAAATTCTGGAGCTATTTTTTTATTCACAGGTTCACAGTTGGTCGTTCCTGAAATCTGTATTTGACAAAGCCATTCTATTAACACTGTTAACATATTGCATTCAAATCTAACCTTTGACTTTCTCAAAACTTATTCCCCTTGTCTCAACTTTACATTATTCTGTGAAATATCAGACAAGTAGAGAAAAGGAAACAGGACCAGAAGTTTTGATTCAGTGACACTACTGACCCAATGACACACTGTAAAGTTGTACAGTGTAACTGTAACTACTTAAAATCACTTGCAATTTTTTGCTTGTTCACCTATAAAACTACTTTATAAAATACTAAAATATTGCTAAAATTATTTAAGGTAGTATTTATAAGGCTATTCCTATAAAGTGTTGGCATTTTAGAAAATACTTCTGATTTGAGTATTCCTCAATCTCTGTTTCTATCCAGTGTCTTCAGCTCTTCATACTCATGATGATTTCTCTCTAGACTCTGAAGGTGTTTACTTACTGAGGGAGTGGGTTGCTATAAACTACCACAGAGTCTAGAGTTACTTCACAGGCCCTGAACTCAGATAATCAAGTTTTGTGGTCATTGTTTTCTTTTCTTTTAATGAGGCAAAACAATTCATATGCCCTATTCTCTCCCCTTAAAAAGATCCTCTTTTGTGTGTGTATATAAAGTTCGGGGAAACCAGTACAGCTATCCATATAATTATAATTCAGCTTTCAACCCTCCTTCTTCAATTCATATGTCAGTGTTTTAAATTGGGTTGTGGAGAACCCAGATTTTTTTTCAGAGATGCCTCTGGTACTTCTAGGAAGCCCTTATTCTAAAATTCAGCTAACGTAACCTAATTTACACCTGTTTTAGTTAAGTCCTGTGTTAAGACCTCATTCAAAAAGAGATTATCACTTAAAATGTTTGTAACTACTGACTTATGATACAGTGAAAAAAAAAAAAAATTGGGGGGAAATAACATTTTTTCCCATTACTTTGCTGTCTGCCAGTTTTTTCTACGCTCATGTGTTGTTTTACTTACCTAGTGTCATCAACTGGTTTATTCCTGCTACAATTCTTTCACATTCTTCATCCCTGGGATTGGTACCCCATTCTCCATCAAGAGGTTTATAGATAAGTGATCTGCATTCCACATCAGTTAAAGGAACACTGGTACCTAGTTCTTCAGGAAATACAGCTGAAATGACAATGCAGATCATTACAAATACACGGTAACTTATTAGTATTTAGGTTAGCTTTAGAATATAAAAATAATAGTCACAAAATTTAAGTATATTTTGTAGAGATACCGTAAATATACCCTTTATTTTAATTAAGGAAAGTATGTTTCAAGGATTACTAAAATTTAAATTAATTTTTAAATGATACTATATTTCTAAGTAATTCTCTAAATAATAATTACTTCTCCAAAATTATACCTGAAAATCTGTTCTATAATCAAGTTACAAGTACAGAAATTATTTCTATAAAATATGCAAAATAAAAGTTTTCTGAATCACTTCATAATTTAATTGCCATGTTTACTTTGATAAAGTATACACAAGATAAAACTGAACTAAAGTGACATTATCTAGAAATATTTCAATCAAAGCTTCAATTTTTGAATGTAGGAACAGAAAGAATTATGAAAATTGACAAATGATGCTTATGCTTGTTGTTCTAAATTATGAAGGTTATGTTTTCTGCATGCTTGAATCTTTCAGTTTTAGCTGAAGGAATCACTAGAGGATTGTGGTAACCCAAAGTCTCCAAACGTGCTAATTTTTTCTTTCGACTAGGTTTCAGTAGATACACACTAGAAAATATGCCACTGTTTGTGTACAATCAAAATTCTCATCACAAACTACAATTAAACTCTATAGGTTCATATGTATCTAAATAGAATAATAATAACCACCCTTCAATATATTTAGGTAGGAAACAAAATAGTAAATCAGTATCACTTATTCATTTAAAAAACATCCAGGGCATTACAATACCAATTGGCTTCACTGCTATCATATTCACAACAGTTCAACGTGAGCTCAAATTCAAATCTTTTTTTTTTAATAGAGAAAAGCAACAAAAAGATAAGCCATGTAATCCGGTTACAAATTGATTAAGATATTTAGTAATTTTAAATGGTTCTAATTTAGCATGAGATACAAAATATATTTTTGGCATTAAATTTTCAGAGTGATAATTACTGCAAAGAACTAAGCTTATCGGTATGACCATTTTCTCATTTCTGAGGTCTATGAGACTGGGTTTTCTTCAATTATTTTTTCTCTGACTTTGGATTACAATAACTACTGAGCAATTCAATTTATAAAAGATTATTTCTATTATGTTAGAAATTAGATGCTTTCCTTTTTGTTTTTTAAACATTTTATCTGCTGGCAGATATATTTTTTTTTTAATCAAACGATATAGAATAATGTAAAGGCATTTATGAAGTCTTTATAATCCCACTTTATAACCATAATTAAAATCTGAATATATACTTGTAACCTTTTTTTGGCTTATACAACTGTGTATGTGTGTTGCATTTTTAAAAAACAAACAAAAATGGGCAATGAAGTGGAAAAAAACTGTAATCTCCAGGCTTTGGTCCCACTGACCTTTTCTCAATACAAGGAAGATGTCTTACTCACTATCTAGGGCTAATTATTAAATCCTGAATGTCAGTCCATATGTACAATGACAGTTATTATTACCATCATTAATTTTAACTATATCTTTATTGAGCTGTTATGTGTGGCAGGCTTTATAACAAGCACTTCACATACATGATGCTATTTAATCCTCAAAGCCCCTATAACAAAGGTATTAGCTTAAACAATTTCAAAGGCCAGATCCTAAAAACCTGGGGTGTGAGGCTTTATGGAACTTGCCAAGATCACATAAAAAATGACAAGTCAGGATATGAACTGATGTCTCACTCAAAAGCCTGAACTCGTAAGTATTACATTACACTCCAAGCACTGTGCTAAAGTTAAAAAAAAATCTCTGCCTCCCAAATGCACAGTTTCTTGGGTGAGTAACAATTAATAAAACAATTTCATGTTTTGTTGTAATAAATTAATTTCAATCTTTCCTGTTAGACTATAAATTCCAAATATGGTTATGTCTATCTTCTTCACTGCTGAATCTCCCCTAATTCAATGTGTACAATAAATATTTGCTGAACCAACGTTTTCTATTTGATACTCACAACCACCCTAACTGGTAGCATGTGAGCAAATCTTAAACAATTTCTTAAGAAATTAACTCCATAATGCAGAGAAAAAAACCCAACATACACTTACCATTATTAGGTATAAGCTCCATATCCCAAGGACTCATCTTTTCTGTATCTCCATTGTCCCAGCTTAAAGAAAGAAAAATCATTATATTAAAAAATCTAAATTATTGTATCACAATTTTAATGAAATCAATTATCAAAATAATTGCTTCTGTGTTTAAAACAAGTCTCTTTATCTTGTAATAGATGGGAAAAAAATTCAAAGCAAGCCTAGGTGAACTAAAATATAACAAATATTTCCTTACCAAACATTGTAGCATTGAAACAGACTATCAGGGTACTCAAGTTGAAGAGGTTCCTGGCTTTCAATTGTTCCAAACCACCAGGCATCATCTATGACAGACCTGAAGCGGTCACCTGGCAAATAACAAAAACTATCTCATTACTTTGAAATGCATGGCTGCTGTGACTACTTTTTCCTAATGTAAACCTTTAGGTACCTAAACTGCCTGTATGATTTCAGAAGACAAAAAGTGACCCACACACTCCAAAAATAAGTAAGTACGATCAGCAATACCAACAGAAAAAAGCTATTTAGTAAGCATACTTGAAGTGTGACTTAACAGTTTTCAATTCTATTTCTTAGATTTCATTAAGGTATAGAGAAATTCACTTGTTTTAGGAATTTTTACCAATCTAGCATTTTAAATTCCTCATTAACACTATACCCAAACTTTTCACTCAAATAAAATTAAAATTTAGATAAGTTCTACTCAACAATTACTTCGTCTATTTTTAATTTCTTACTAACTGTAGGCAAGTTTCCCAACCATCAATCAAGACTTCACCCTAAAAACAACAAACAACATGAAATACAACTTGTCTTCCTTCATTTCAAACTCCCTTAATACTCACTCACTCTCCCTTTCCTGTAAAAGGAAACAAAAATAAAACAACTAATCTTTTTAAAACAGAGGACTCTCCTTGTTTCTGTTTCCTTATCTAATTGCTGTCATCATATTACTTAACCTGCTTTTTCCCAAAGACCTGAGTAAGCTATAAATGCTATGGCCTTTTCTTATCTAAATCTTCTCAAGTTCCTTCTGTGTCATAAGTAAACTGTAAGTCACTTACTTCCTTTATGCAATGCCTTCCTGTTCCTTAGCTGTCACAGTACTTGAGTTTTCTCCTGGCTAGCATAGGATAGAGTCTGAAACACTTCGGTTCAACTAATGTATCTGTGTTAAGTCTGAATACATTATTTTTTGACTTCATTTTCCTTGTCTATCAAATAGAAATAGTGATGTCTACCTCCCAGCAGTTTTTGAGTAACACGTTCTATTAAAGAACTCTACATTGTTGACATGCTGTTAAGTCAAAATGAAGTTAGCAATTATCTGAATCAGTTTTATTTTTAAACTCAAAGAGAAAAGTATTTATGTTCTCATTTTCTTACCAAAAATGATTTAGAAGTTGAAAAAATATATAGCATAAAATGAATTAAAAATCAGAAAAACAAGGTAAAAAAAGAAAAGTAGAGCCAGGAGTAAGTTAATAGAACACAACTGCATGTTGTTGACAGTTGTTCCTCAGATGCATACTAGTGACACTAAACTTAACAAAAAGCTACTATATAATTTAATAAGAAGCATTCTTGACACCAGCACATAAAGAGTTTCAAAGAGTTGTGTCTTATGACCCTACACAGAATGATCATTATGCTAAAGAGGAAGAACTGAGCAATGTGTGCTTAACCACAATGAACGGTAGGTAGAATAACAATAACGTTAAGCAAAGAACCTGGACTACTACCAGTCTGAAGTACACCACTAAGAGTAAGCCTTAACACATTTCTAAGGAGGGCTAAAGTAAAAATTACTAACGTGATTTTAAATGCCAGTCTGTGGATAACTGCATCTATTCCGAGACATGAAAGACTAATTAGATACTAACTTTAGATAAATATTAACCTATAAATTAGAATAAAATTATAAGATCCAAATGAGAAAATTAGGATGCTCAACCATTTGAAATCTCTCTGATTTGTCCAATGCTAGCCATATTACTTTGCTAAGATTATAAGCTCACTTCTGACATATTCCGGCGCTTTGAGCCATATTATCTGTTCTGCAATTTATTGGCAAATTCATGTCCTTAAAAAATAAGATTCATCATAACAAGTAACGTATGTGAATAATTAAAAAAATCAAATGTACCAAAGGCTGATACCCAAAACCAAGAAAAATGTTTCCATCTATTTTAACTACTACTTCTTAATTTAGAGATTACTTTATTCATCAGTTTTTGACATTAAGTATCAGAGTCGATTCCTGAATACTGGGTTTTAATTGACCAGGTCCACTTATATCCAGATTTTTCCAATAAAAAGATTTGGACCTCTGTATTGGCAGATTCTGCATCAGCAATCAAATGTAGATTGAAAATACAGTATTAGTGGGATATGAAACTCATGAATATGGAGGGCCAACTTTTGAAATCGGGGGGATTCTCCAGGATCAATTCTGGCACTTAAGTATGCACAGATTTTGGTATCCATGGGGGTCCTGGAAGCAATTCCCTGTGGATTCTAAAGGACACCTATAATCTCAATACAACTGTACATGAAAAGTATGTGTATTATATTTAATCCAGGTTCAATTTATCATCATGACTATGTAAATACCGCTTGTTCCTAAGCAAAACAGCATATAATTCCTTTCTTATATAATTTTGTTTTCCCTAAAATTAATAATTGCTTCATTTTTTTAATGCTTGGTTTTCAGTGAATTTACAATTAAGTCTTCCCACATTCTCCAACAGCTCAAGCTGTAAAAATCATTCTTAAATGTAATTTTCCACAGAGACAAACTTGTTAGACAACATATGTGTTCCAAGTTTTTCCCCCTGAAGACTTTCCTCTTGAAGGACAACTAGACTTGCTAGGTAGTTGCTATCCTGAGGCTTCTACTAAATATTACTTGGGATTCCTTTTGGCTTGTCCTGTTCTGGACTTCCTATTTTCTGAGGGGATTCCATACTTCTCCCTTTCTTGGTTTACTCCCTTATCTGATGAAACACATCTTTCAAAACTTCTAGGAAAATGCTACATGAGATGTAAATTTTCTTGCTAACTCCCATGTCCATAGTTTTGATAACTTGCATTCTCCTAATTTCTCTTTACAGAGCATATACAAGTTTATAGAAAGGACAAACCACAATGACAATGCATTCCAATGTCACTGAAGGATAAACTGGTCTATCAATTGATATGCTTTTTCAAAACATGTATGCCATATACACATCACACCATGACACATACTGATCCTGTATGAAATTTTTAAGAAAACTAATAAATGGAACATCATCTATACGTAAATTATTGCACCTTAAATGACTAAAAACTTTAAAGGATTTTAGTTTGAGACTTGTTTACAATACTAATTTTAAAGATTATAATAGGACTAACCAATAAAAGAAAAATGTCAGTTCAGCTTTAGTCCCAGTACACACTTCTTGTTAAGCTTCTTTTGGGTTCAAATTTAAATTCTGTTAATATTTTAATATAAATATTTAACTTAACATGTAAAACAATGAAAAGACAAAGTCAAATGTAATAAAAAAATGTTTGGAATTTCAGCATCAACTAAAGTTATTTTTATTCCTTAACAATACCTCTGACACAGTACCTTACTTTGCTATAATAGCAAAAAGATTTCTGATAATCTTTCCTCAATTATGAAAACTAGTAAATCACTTATTAAGAAAAAAAAAAAACACATCAAACATGTACAGCTTCTAACTAAATTACCCACCTATATTCCATCGCCTATATTTTGCATCATCAAATTGTTGTCTCAAGACTAGGAAATCTATAACGTCGGGCATATCATGGTATCTAATTGCAAACAGAAAGAAACTGATTAGGTCACATAGCTAAAATTATCTCAAAGATGCTCAAATGTATCTGAATCTTGAAAACCAATCTACAATACTAAGAAAATCATTGACCCTTTTAAGAGTCCTTACTTCATGGTAAATGATCCTCCAGTTAGTTTACCAGTATCAGGATCTAGAAAAGCAAGTTTAAGGCAGCAAAGGGTAGGTAATCCCACTTCATACTTTATGCCAACTATTTTCATAAGTTCTTGCTCCTGAGAGAGACAGACAAAATAGGAAACCATCTTTACAAAAAAAACCACAAAACAGAGAGTTAAGCATTGTTGAGAAAAAAAATTCTTCATTTAAATCTTGATGTGGATGGTGACAACCGCATACATGTAAAAATTCATTGACCTATGTACTTAAGATTTGTGCACTCTATGCAAGTTACATTAAAATTTTTAAAAAGTTTAAAAAAAGAAAAGAAGAATAAGGAAAACTTTACTAAAGTAAGTTTTCTATCACCATTCAAAGACCTATAGGTAACTTTGAACTACTGCTGACAAATCTAGAAATATGCATCAAATTTACAAATACAAAGCTTATCTTAGACTTTTTACCTAATTTTCACTAGAACTAAATTTTGTGCCCAACCCATAAACTGCATTGGAGTATATAAATTCAGTCAAATCTTGTGTTTCTCTGGCTGAAAATTAAACACCTGTTACTCTCTATGACTATTTTAATTAAACAAGTTATCTTCATGATACAGTTTCTTATAGTGTTAATAGTAACCTTTGATACAATTTTCTCTTAAATTCATAACTGTATTTTTGGGGCTATTAAATAAATCAATGTCATACCCGTAGTTCCATTTTATGCCATGGTTGTTTTTTGGGATTGATACTATATATTTTATTTTTCCGGGCCATTTCAACATAGGCTTCGTGTCCTTGTCGGAAATAATAAACCTAAAAAATAAAGTCATAATCTTAAAACCTGGATGTGTTTCCTTTAACCCAATATACAGGGTATCAACTGAATTTGCAAAGAGAAAATCTACTGCCTTTTGAGCTAACAGAAATTCTAATATTTTCTCCCGTCTTCCTTCTCTCAAGTTGTCTTAACATCACTGCATCATAACCAAAGTGTTTTAAGTAACATTCTTTGAATATACACTTAAAAGTTAAGATGAAAAGTTACTTCCTGGATAAGAACACAACTTTATTATGCCACGTGAACTTATTTAGAATTTATATATAATAAGAATTTGTATTCCTATTTATTTGAATTTATATTTATATATATAAATTTTAATTAAGTTGACGTGGCATAATAAAGTTGACTAGTAACTTTATCATCCACTTTTGTTAACTTTTTAGAAAGTGGTTTGTACATACACAGAAAACATTAAAATGAAAAATGTATTTTCACATATATTTTAATCCTTACACAAACCCTGGTAAGACAGCAGACCATACATTTCACGAAGATCAAATTGTGATTGCTGACTACTGTCTTTGAGAACTAGCACTTGAACACAGTAGTCTGACACCTACTACTAGAAGAGTGTGATTAAAAATGCTAGGTTTTTTTTTTTTTTTCTTTTTTGAGACAGAGTCTCACTCTGTTGCCAGGCTCGAGTGTAGCACAATTCCCCTGCCTCAGCCTGCCGAACAGCTGGGACTACAGACACGCGCCACCACACCTGGCTAATTTCTTGTATTTTAGTAGAGATAGTGTTTTACCATGTTGGTCAGGATGGTCTTGATCTCCTGACCTCGTGATCCACCCGCCTCGGCCTCCCAAAGTGCTGGGATTATAAACATGAGCCACCGAGCCCGGCCTAAAAATGTTAAGCTTTTTGTAACATTTTGGGATAGCCACTATCCCATACTTTCATTCTATTCATTATTACCATTGTTATTCTAGTTGTCTGGAACTTTAAATGATTAATAATGCTAAATAATGAAGACATACCTGTTCAAGAACCAGCAACTAAAAAGTCAACCTAAGCATTTTGAAAGCAAATCATTCAACAAGAAATTACAACCTTTTCTGGCCATCTTGAAATAACGTATTACATGTAATTTCACATCTTCTTGATGTTATAGGATCTGTTAAGATCTGTCACTGTAGTATACTATAATGTGGTAATGCTCTGTGCTCTTCAAGTCTTAAGAGGCATGTAGGATTTCTAAATGAATTCTTTCAGACTGTTCTTTACAAACACTCTAGCATTAAGAAATATTTGTTTTCCTTTTTTTGTTAAGTGTCAATTACCACTTTATACTGTTAGTTAGTGTCCTTTGCTAATCCTCTATTTTAATCCCCAGTTTATTTATGGTCAATCTGTTGGATACCAGATTAACACTGCCTCTTAAAATTTGTGTACAAAATAAGGAGACGTTAACCTTGAGTAAAAAATTTTGAGATTAGTTCTTACATTTCATTCTAAATTTATAATTACGTATTTTAAAACAATGATCTCATCAGTTTATTAAAAATGAAATAGGATTTTTTATTCCAAGATTATAGATGTTTTTGAAGAGCTAATAAACTATGAACACTGCGGGTAAAAAAAACACAACACTTTTTCGAAATAAAATTACATGAAAATAAAGTTCTAAATTTCATTTCTCTTTTAACATGTTATACATTAAGCTGTAAGTAAGATAAATGAGTACGTTTTAATTTAAAAAGGAAAAGAAAGCTGGCAATAAAACCCTCTTCTTAAAACATACACTCCACTTTTTAAAACATTAACAAAATTTTCAATCTTATAATATTTAGATTTACAGAAGCTTCAAAGAGAATTATCATTAGATTTTCTCTCCTAATGGTACTTTCTCTATACATAGATACAAACATCTAGAATGAAACACTTTATGAAATTGCTTCAATTTTCTAGAATTCTATTTCAAGAGCTATTAAAAATGTTTAAAATTATGTAAGAAAAAAGGATAATATAGAACTAAAAGTACCTCATCACCCATCTGTGGCACAAACGGACATCTTCGGGGAATAGTATCTGTAATCCATGTTGACGGCAACCATTCTTCTAATGTCAACCCGTTTTCAGTTAGTTCTCCCACAGCCAACCTCTACCAAAATTTAAAATATTGTTAAGTAGTAATAATAAAAGCATTAACCCACCAATCTACTCTTTAAAATAACTATAGAGATAATTAAATAAAGCAATCATTGTACTATATACAGTTAGCCCTGTGTATCCATGGGTTCTGCAACCATGGATTCAACCAATCATGACTGAAAATATTTGGAAAACAAATTCCACAAAGTTCCAAAATGCAAAACTTGCATTTGCTACATTCGGAATACTATGTTGAATCCACACAAATGAAATGATGTGTAGGAACTGTATTAGATATTTTAATGATCTAGAGATGCTTTAAAGTATATAGGAGACTGTGTGTAGGTCACATGCAAATACTATGCCATTTTTTTTTATAAGCAACTTGAACATCCATGGATTTTGTTATCTACGGGGTCCTGGGACCAATCCTCCATGGCTACTGAGAGATGACTATCCTTTAGGCATCAAAACACTTATTATGGAAGAAAATGGCAGCAGTGGCAAGAGTTATTCAATCTCTCCAAATCACTGCCTGTAAAGAGAACTAACTAGAAGCAAAACCCAAAAATCCATGGCCAACACTCACAACAAGGTAAAAAAAATATTCCCACAAACCCCAAAGTACAAGCTCTGTGTATTCTCCTTTCCTTTCAAAATCCTCTCCGTTTTATAAACATTTCACGTAACAAACCAAGACATCCTAGAGTTGTCTTATTTTTAATCCTAGTTACGTTGATTAGGGCAAGATGTAGAAGGCTAATTATTTCTATGAGCTGGACATTGTACTTCTACACAGAATGAAAATGTTCTCTCCTTAAAGTAACCATTTCACATTCTTGGCTCACATTAAGCATCTTTAAAAACTTCACATTTTGTTGAAACAAAATGTTGTCAAGCCAGGTCCTTTACTTTTTTAACTCTCATGTATAAAAATAAAACAACACCTCTGAGAAAGTTCCTTAACTTTGCTGGTCACCCACAAGTGGCCACAATGGTCTTGACGTTACTTTAGACTTAGAAATAAATGAACTTTCTAAGAACATTTGAAACCTAGTATTTTTATAAGTAAAAAAACTTTATGCAACTGATTAAAGTCTTTTGTGAATCACATGTAAAGCATTAAAAATGACAGTACACTAAGACTTCTACATTTTATTCGCTTTTTTAAAAACAAGGTACTATAAAATAATACCCATTTACTAAAAGAAGCAATGCCATAATATGGTATAAAAGAAGGCTACATGCAACAGGTACTACTACAGTTGTTTCCCAATTGTAGTAGTTGTCATTTTCCTCTTTTTCCTATTAGCCACACCATACTGTTTCTCAGTCAAACACATCAGGAGCATTACCCTGGAGAGTTAACGTAAAGGCCTTTGGTATTTACTATACGTGAGATGGGTTCATTACAGAATTTTAGGCAGAAGTATAGTATGACGTCACTTACATTTTAAAGGCTCACTCTGGATGCATCAGAACAAGGATTGGCAAATCATGACCCCCCCACCCAGGGCAAGTCCGGCCTGCCACAATTTTTATAAATTAAGTTTTATTGGAACACAGCCATATGTATGGTCTATATTTATGTATTATCTATAAATGCTACTATGGCAGAGTAGCTGGCCTTCTGTAGAAAAAAATCTGTTACCTATGCTTTAAAAAATAGATCCTAGGGAGAAAAAGGGAGAAACAGGAAGACAAATGGAATGCTACCACGGTAATATAAATGAGAATTAAGGGTGATTCACACCAACGTGATAGCAGAGTAGTGGTGAAAAACAGTAAAGTGCTGAATATATTTATAATCCATTAGATAATTAATTCCCTGATGGACTGGATGTAGAATATGAGAGAAAAGGCGGAATCGAGGATATGTCCAGGGTTTCTGGTATAAACAACTAAGAGTCATCACACTACTGAAATAAAGAGGGCTGCGGTACAGCAGGTTTGAGGAAAAAGCTTGATAAATAAGTTTTGCAGGTGTTAGATGTGAGGAGTAAAATGATATCCAAACACTAACTTGATATATACACCATTATCAAATCAAGTAACCATTATATTATGCACTGAGTATATCACAGAGATCCCACAACCCAGGAATTTCCACTATGTTTTATTCAGAGCAGCCTTGATTTTATAAGTTTTATATATTGAGGAGACGAGCTAAAAGTTTGTTTGAAAAAATTTTCCTTTGACTAATAAAAAGCAAAAGACATAAAAGTTTGAAAATCATAATACTGCCTCAATATGAACTGTTAATTGCTAGACAAGTATTTCTCCCCATAAGGAAATTATCTATATTCAATGGGAAAGCTAACAACTTTTATATCAAGACAGGTAAGTTGTATATTAAATAGGAATAATCGTACGTATGATTTTGAAAGACTGGCATCACCAAAAATCATTACGAGGACAAAACTTATTCCCCAGTAATTCCTGAGGAACTTAGAATGTTTGGTTGAGGCAGATTTCTGTCACTTATTAATTACAATCATTAAGAAGTTAAGAATGCACTGAGTATTCTTCAACATTTCCAGCTCCATGATTTGAGTTTTCTTTTAATGTGGAAAGTATAAATAATTGATTTATTTCCTTTCCAAATATGGGAATGCTTCTGGGCCCACTCAAATCTTATTTCCTCTATGGAGCTTCATCTGAAATCCCAACATAAGATGCCCTGTTTAAGAAGAGAAATACTTCTATGTTTATTTGAGATAACTAGAGGACTAAGGAATAAGAACAAGTCTATCTACTATCTGTTAGATCACTTGCTAGGCATGTGAACAAAATTTAAACTAAAGGGAATACTCTCCAGTATCCTAACCTTATCATATTTAAAGTGACCCACATAAATCTACTGGCAGAATCATCTTATTCCAATACTTTGTCACAACAGTGAAATTAAAATATGCCAAATGTTAACAATAGATCTCTATGTGCCAGTACATGAAGGTGCCCATCGTATTAATTTGAGGAAAATTATCAAATTAAAGGGGACCAGATGAAGCAAACTATACTCTTGGGATGAAAACATTGTTCTCACAGTGACTTATCACTCCAAACCTCTAAAGTTCATCAAAACTGTCCTGAAATGAAAAACAATATTTACCTTATTAGCCAGATCCATGGCTAAACCCAGTTTTCTTTAACCAATCTGTCTACTACATACACAAAATAACAAATCAGACTACATTTATCATCACTGACAAGGTAGAAAAGAAAAACTGTGGGCAAATGTGTGGGATTGTCTTTGGTAAAGCTTCCCCAAACAAAAGTAAAGAAGGCAACAAGAATAACAGTTGAGGAATCCAAATTAAAGTAACTCATAATGCTGAAATAATAACAAATGTAGAAAAACTAAACACTTAAAACAAAATAGATATATTATGTTCTTATATTTTTTGAAAACTCAGTGGGGATAAAGACCCTACAGTCTCCTACTATTTAGTTCTACAAATGACAACTTATACCTAAATGGCAGAGGTTACAAAAAAATCTTCCTTTTAACCAAATATTATTCCCATTCACAGTCTTTTGGGAAGCAGAAAGCATGCCCCTTGTGTTGTATTTACTTTGGAACAAAAATTAAACAGTTCTCATTTTCATTCGTATGTAAAGAATTTCAACTCCATAAGAGGTGACACATATGCTTCCTATAATATTTCTTACATTCTCTGCTTTCTCTAAAACTGTCTACAGACTTAACTGTAGTAATCAAATCAATATTGCTACTGACCAAAAAACTGAAAACTTATGGCTCACACTCTATATATTAATGAAGAAATGTTACAAGCCCATCTTATCCCACTTCTGCTTCATATTTGCCTTGGACCAAGTAGTCTGTTTATTTTCAGCAATAGCAAATAAGTGTGGTTAAACTTAAAGGCAATTTATAGACTAATATACTGTATGTGTTTTATCATTATGTATTTCACATAAATAAATCCTACCGAACTGTGAAGAAAAATCTGATCTTTTTAAGATTAAATGGTCAATATTTAGAATATGGCAATTTTCTAAGTAAATACTTCTACATGCTAAATATCTAAAAACCCAAATAAACTAAATATATTTAGGTATACTTCTTTTATTACTGTGTACTTGAGTCTTTTCTATTATTTGCTGATACACTTCAACAATGTTTGTGATCAACTGTACTTCAAAATCTATGCTTTAACTCTTCCCCTAGAGAACACTAAATTTATTATTTTAAAAACCAAACCTTTTGTTTTCTTTCTTTGGGCTTCTTTTTCTTTGGTGATATTGGTCCATCTTTTTCTTCATTTACTTTTTTCCTTTCCTTTTTAATCTGTTTTTGTTTCTGTTTTTCAGATTCTTCTTCTTCATCTGAACTGCTTTCTGCTTTCTTGGTTTTATTCTTAGGAACTTTCTTTGGTGGCTGAAGATTAATTCCTGCATCTGCTGTCCAGTCAGAGTAATCACTAGAGTAGTCACTAGACAGAGAGAAGGAATTTTTAGATCACACACAAGATAAAATTTTAAGACTTGTTTTATAAAAATGAAAAGATTATAATAAAGAGAAATGACAGAACAACAAATACTTTAAAAAATACTTCCCTAATTTTCAACTCATCTTCAAGTTTCTTAAAATTCTATAGGGTTTACTTAATTATTGCAAAAAAACAAAACAAAACAAAACAAAACAAGATAAATAAGGTCACAACTTTAAGTGAAAAAACAAACTTAAGTAACTTCCATGATATTAAGAAAAACATTGGCTTCTGCATGCTGCATATGTTACAAATTCTGTGGGCATGTAAAAATAAGGAAGAGGGGTTTACTTTTCTCAGTTCTACTGACAGCAGAAAGATAGCCCTGGAGAGCACAGAAGGTGTCAGCACTGAGGAGGAGATAAGGTGATTCCTTTTCTGAGGGGAAGTGGGAGTTCTAGACAGGGGGATCTCTTCTGGTCCAGTACTAGCACTCTCAAGGTAGCTAAATATTGAACTGGCAGAGTCAGAAGTGTTCCTACCCAGTGGGAAAACTGTGTTTGCAAACTTTACTGAGCGTGTAAAGAAACTTCATTTAGATAAAATTATTCTACCTACCTATACCTTAAGTGTATCTTATGCTTCAAAGCATGCCATGATTCAGAAATATACAAGCTGTACTATATTTTGTATACTGCTTCCAATCATGTTTTTCATTTATTTTTAGTTTGCTTTCACTGACATATACTTTGGCAATCTGATCATGCTGTAAAACAAACTAGTTTTATTATCTTCTATATTAACTTTAGTATGTGAGCATATTTAACGTATTTTGTACAATTTTATGAACATAAATGTTTAAAGGAATCTAAGTTATACTATGTTAAAAGTAATAATTAGCTTGCCTAGATTTAATAATATATGACTTCATGCCTCTAAAAAATACTGTTAATAACATTAACAGTGAAAAGGCAGATTTTTCTGGAGTTTTATTCTATTGTCACTACTCCTCTCCACTGTTCAAATGTTCTTTATAAGCATGTACCTAAATCTCTGATTATTCTAATGATCCCAGGTAAGAATCAAGTAAGATGTTTTCTAGTATGATTTAGTGATTTTACTATGAAATTTAAAATGATTTTTAAGAACTTAAACTGTTTTCAGATATGTTATTCTAAAATAGGTTGTCTTCAACTTACGAGCATTTTATTTATACTAACCCCAGCCACAGCCACTGTAAATGGCACCTGACAAATCTCAGAGTTATCATCTATGGAGTACTTGGCTCTTACAGAAGATCTTCTGCTGTCAGCATAAACAAAATAACAAACTCCAGAGCCCAACATTCTTTACACCTGTCCTAAACTGCTAAAACCACCACTACTCTTTTAATACAGAAGCCCCTATGTCATCTCAGGGTTTGAAATACTCGGATTCTATTGTTGAGCCAAAAGAAAGTGAAGTTTTCCTTCAGTGACCTGTTTTGAATACAGAAAACTACTAGATATAACGATAGGCATTTGTGTATCATTACCAGAAATCACACTGTGAGAACAGGAGTGCCCTTGATTTGAACGGGCATGAGGAACTCTTATAGCCTATACTTCATACTTTGTCTCTTCTATTTTAAGAGTCACTAAGGTGGGGGATAAATGTAGCAGCTAATCATAACTGCGATCCCCAAAGGCTATACTCTGCTCCTGCTAACCTTGCAAGGTCAGCCAAGGTCATAAGCCCTGCAAAAATGTGAATCATCAGTGTAAGGAGTTGAAGGGATCCTCACTTGCATGGTCAAATAAGGTAGGGATAATAAGAAAAAGGAATGTTTATTCCTCTTATCATTAGTATTCCATAAATTCCACTATATGAGATAGTCATTAATGCAGTAAGACTGCATTATTTTCATAACTTTATACTTAAAATAATTTTCAAAACCAGTAATGAAACTAGTTTGTGATTCAACATTATAAAAGCATTCAGAAGAAATAATACAAGATAAAATTAAAAGCATTATTTTGCAGATCTAGTTGTAATCACCAAAAAATTATTTTCTATGGAGAACATATAGCAGAAAGAAAATTTCCGCATTTTGTACAACTTCAAAAACTCTTTGAAGAACTAACTTGGAACTCACAGAGACTTTGAAACGTGTTGCTGGTTTAAAAAAAAATAAGCTTTCTAAAGATTTTATATAACATTTGGAAAAATCATTCATTTACCTAGAACTCCCATCACTGTGCCATGCTCTCTCTTCTTCTTCGGATGTTCCACCACTGACAGCAACTGCTTCACCTTCCTAAGATATGGTGAATACATGTCTTAATGTCTTATTGTATAATTTAATAAAATAACATTTTATGATTATAGAAAATATCAACGATATCTTATAATATCAGTCATATTGAAATATTTTAAACTTGATTTAAATTAGTTGCAAAGGGTGCAGTGGCTCACACCTGTAATCCCAGCACTTTGAGAGGCCAAGGCGGGCGGATCACTTGAGGTCAGGATTTTGATACCAGCCTGGCCAAGACGGTAACACCCCATCTCTACTAAAATACAAAAAAAAATTAGCTGGGCATGGTGCCAGATGCCTGTAATCCCAGCTACTCGGGAGTTTGAGGCACAGAATTGCTTGAACCCAAGAGGCAAAGGTTGCAGTGAGCTGAGATGATACCATTACATTCCAGAAAGAGACTGTCTCAAAAAATAATAATAATAATAAAGTAATAAAAGAATCAGCTGCTTCTCTTTAAACAATTAGTTGCAAAATACAGCTTTTACCTTTTTTCAAATAAATGAGAATACTTAAATGTATATAAAAACACAATCCTTATTAATATTGGATTCAGGGCAATCCTGCAGATGATTACCATTTTAAAAGCCTCACAACATATCTTCTAGATGAAATGATATTAAACTCCATATTTACATTCAAAATTAATTTTTACTTCTTGAGCCTTTGTAAAACATTAAGCTTTCTTTTCTATAGGTGCTTTGAGAAGCTTTAAATAAGGCACATTTATGTTTTACTTATTAAAATAGCCTTCCCATATAAAAAAGGATGTTCCACTTCTGGTCTTATTTTATCCAAATGGTAGAAGATTAAAAAATAGTCAAATACTCTGTTTCTCCTTAGTAAATATTCATGAGTGAACAAAGAATATTATCTGTGAAAGCATTTTCTTCATAAATTTGGGGTTTTTGATCGCAAAAATCTTACATGTCTTCCTTAGTTAAACTTTATGCACCAATAACACCTCATATTTATTAAGCTTTTACTGTATGTTACAAACTATTCTAAGCACTTTGCATGTATCACCCCATTTGGGCTTGAGAATGTACTATTGGTGATAGGAAGAGTTATTTAAATCAAACAAACTAAAGCTTTAAAAAGTTGAGAACTTTGCTCAAGGAAGCACAACAAATAAGCAACAAAACTTGAATTGAGCCCAGGTCACTTTAGTCCAAATTCTGGACAACATTCTGTAAGAATGGTGTTACTTACTTGCTGGGCACACTCAGATAACTTTTAAAGGAGATAACAGGGTGTATTCTTTTAATATTAAATAAAATATTTGGGAAAAATGTTTTCCCACTTTGATATTTTAATGAAGACTTATTTCACAGTTACAAGACATACCATATATAATGAATGTTTATTCCAGTTAAAAAACTAAGCAAAAATGGAAAAGTCAAAATCTAAAAGCATATTTTATTAACAAATTTAATCGCTGCTCGATATACAAATAAATCTAAGCAACTGATATGATTTTTCCCACATTTCATATGTTACTTCCCTAAAGGGGAGAAAAAAGAAACGAAATTATTTCTACATTCCAAATATGAAGTACTAAAGTACAAAACATTTGAACTAACAAATCAGAATTCTTTCAAATTAATTATTTATTCTTCCCAAAGTGATATTTTGTTCTCAGTGGACTCCTCTAAAATTTATTCTAAATTTCCAGAAGGATATTAAAGCATAAATAAATTAGTTTTGAAGACACTTGAAGGACTTATTATAACAAATGTGTTATAAGTTTTTGCCAGAATGAATGTATCATTTTGATCTGGCCATATGAGGACCGAAAGCCACTGGAAACTAACTTAAAGTGTGGTTTGAATACTCTCAGATTGAGTTAATGTTGCCCTGGCCAAAGAGCATATACTTAGAGAATTCTCATATATGCCTAGCATTTCAAAGCACAACATGGCTTCTAAAGTGTATAGTAGTCAATATCTAAAACGATTACATCTCTGACTTGTGAGGGAGGAAGGTGATGGGGAGGATTGAGAAGAAAAGAGGAACGGAGATGGTTTAACTGCTTAATAAAATTGGTTTGTGATTGCAAATTGATTACTTTCACTGAAATAATACACAATTTAGTAAGGACAGTAATATTTATTGAAATAATGATGCATGAGGAATATTTAAAAATTACACTGAGAGAGCTATAAAGTTACAAAGAAATTAAAAACTAACAAAGACTGTCAAATGCCTATTGATTTGTTGTTATATTTACATTATACTAGCTTCATGGTATCACTTAAAGAGCTTGGTTTTAAAGTGAAACAAACTTGCATTTAATCTCTGCTCTACCTCTTAATAGGTGATTATATAACCTAAGTATCTTTGAGCCTCAGAATCCTTATCTATAAAATGAGAATAATTAATTCACAAGGATTTTGTGGATTCGAAATTATGTGTATGTGTACCATGCCTAGGAATAGATTTTTAGAAAATAAAACCTGTCTGTGTAAGACCCCAAAATGCCATATTTAAGCTACTATAAACATATCAATAAATACAAAGAATGAAACTCGTATTTTAAAAATAAGTAAAAATGAAATTTATGAATGTGCTGATATCTTACATCTGAAGAACTAGTGCCATTTTCTATCTCTTCTGAGGGTCTAGGAGTCTCTTCCAATGCAGATCTCGTACGATAATTGTGTTGATTTGTCTGCTGCTTTTTGGATTCTCCAAGATCCAGGAAATGCTCATGAGTGTGATTCTAGAAAAAAGTAAATTACATTTATTCACAGTATGTTTAAAGAGCAGGATTTTTGTTTAAAAGTTCATTTATTTTTTAAATAAAAAAAAAAATTCAAGCTGGGCATGGTGGCACATGCCTGTAGTCCCAGCTACTCAGGAAAATTGCATAAGCTTAGAGTTCAAGGCTGCAGTGAAAGATGATTGCACTACTGCACTCCACCCTGGGTAACAAAGTGAGATAATTTATCCTAACATATAAGAACAATAAAAACATTTGTTTGTATTTAAGATGTAACTTTTAACATTACATCAAGTTAAATCAAGGCTTATTGTGGCATGCTGATATTCACTTGCTGATTGATTAGTTATAAAAACACTGATTTTTCTAATTAGTGGCAGACATAAGGATTCATGATACAAGTCTAGACCAAACACTGAACTCTTCTGAATTCTACCTCAAACCTACAGAAGTAAGAAAAAGGAAAATGGGCTGTGAGGTACATGTAAGAGACACAGGCAAACTGGAAACTAAAATGGGGATCATAAAGCTACCCTGCCATTATAAGGATAAGATGTCATATGGATGGGCTATTTTTCTTCTGCTGGAATAAATGTGAGAAGTCTTCTGCAGCAGATGAGAATACAACCAGTAAGCACTAAAAAACTGACAAAGTCCGACACAGTGATGAAGACAAAATCAATGAACTTCAAACCTATACCTAAAACACACAAAGAAGCTGAATAAAGCTAGCTCAAAAATGCATACAAGGGCCAGCTATTGGAGCTCATGCCTGTAATCCCAGCACTTTGGGGGTCCAAGGTGGAGAACTGCACTTTGATGTCAGGAATTCAAGACTAGCCAGGGCAATGGCAAGACCCTGTCTCTACGAAGTCAAAAAATTTTAAAGTTTAAAGTTAAGCCAGGCATGGTGGTACAAACCTATAGCCCCAGCTATTTGTGGTGACAAGGCAAGAAAATCACTTGAGCTGCTGCGGTCAGCTAGGACCATCCCACTGCACTCCAGCCTGGGTTAACACCATGAGACTTTGTCTTCCCACCAACCAAACAAAAAAAAGAATCACGTCCATAAAATAAATTCAGGGTCTTCTCACAGAAAAAATAAAGAATCAATTGGACATTCTTGAATTGAAACTAACCATTAAATTTGGGAAAAATAAATGCTAGCCAGCTGACCATATAAATAATAACTGAAACTATTACAGTTGTTTTAACAAGACACTAAAAATATGTAAGTGTGCATGCACACACATATACATATATGTATACACTAAGTATCACTCCTTTTATTTCTTAAAAAGCTTTCAAAGTACTAATGAATTAAAAGATAAGCACATCTTTTATTTTTAATAGATTAACATATTCCATCCATAAAGGTAGTAGCAAGCAATACAAACTCTCATCATCATTATATAAGTTTATCTCAACAAAGGAAGGGAAAAGGGTATTCTTTCTACTCACCATGAATAAGCCAGCCAATCAACCAACCAAAAAACAAGATTATTTCAGAAAGTAATTTTTCTTTATTATACTAACAGGAATTCTAGCACTGTGAGGTCCTACTGATCCCAAGGTGTGATACCCTTAGTTAAAAAAAGAAAGGACTACTTGAGTATTTTGAAGAGAAGACTAATAAAACAGAAAAGTGAATTCTAGAAAAGAAGACTGATAAGGAGGTTTTAAAAACTAAAATCAAAAAAGGAAAGGAGCAGGAAGCTGGTGAAGAAGCCCAGTTTTTTTTTTTTCTTTGTTTCAATGATTGCTTTAGATAGTGACTTGGACTGAAAAAGAAGTTTCACATAGGCTTCCTCAATTTCAGACTCTAAGGCTCTGAAGCTTTCAAGTGAAGATTTTTTTTCAAAAATAAAAAAAAAAAAAAAAAAAAAAAAAAAAAAGGAAAGGAAAAAGGGATACTTGTGATTCCTTCACACTTGTAAGTACAAATCTCTCTCCAATTAGGCCACAACCAATTGAAATCTACCTGGTGCAAAAGTTTTCCCAGAGTAGGATGACAGAGAACCCAGTAAGGCAAAACTAGTAGGGAAAATCCACCTCTCTTAATGGAGAAAATGAGAACTATAATCTGTAGCAGCATTACCTGACTTGATTATCTAGAATAACAAATAGATGCAAGACACTAAAAAAATACATAGAAAAACATTAACAAAACACTATTTTAGACTGTACAAAGATGGCTCACAAGATTGTGAAGAGCTAAAGAAAGTTCTTGATAAGGCTTTAGTATAATTTATTAGATGTAATGAGTATATAAGAATTGGCACTTTGGGAAAGGGTACACTAGAAAGCAGGAATGGAATTAAAAATTTTAAATGGTAAACAATAGATAATCCAGAGATAATCAAGAATTAACTATGTTAATTTTATATCATTAATTATCCTGTTTATAAAATTAACATTTTAAATTACAAAACGGTCATTATACCTATGAAGCAATTATTAAACATCAAAGGAATTAATATGTACCTTTGAGACAGTGGGTATTTTATTCTCTTTTGGAACAGTTAAGTGTTTTCTTTTCTCTTCTGACCTGTAAGTCTTTATTTCTTCTTCTCCCTTTGCAGTTCTCCATTCTTCTTGCCTACTGAAAGACAAAAGCCAGATGCGTTAATCTAGAATTTTACACATAACATTCCTCCAAAAGGAATGTTAGGTATCAAGAAAGGAATGCTACTCTTGATGTTTTATTTTTAGATGGAAGCACCTGATAAAGCTTTCTGAGTTTAATTTCATAAGTTGTGGGCTCAGAACATCTGTCATTTAATTATTTAAAACTCTGTCTACTTGACACTACTGGTTCCTGCTATTGTCTTTGGCAAACCAAGTATTAGATTCTGGGAACATGATGATTCCTAGGGAAACTTTTCCAAGAGAGAGAAATTGGATTTTTTTTTTTTTTTTTTAGGATAGGGCCTATGCTTTGATAATCTTCTGTGCCATATAGATAGCTGGAATCTTCTTAAAAATTCAATACAACAGAGCCTGAGGTTAAACAGAAAGCCCTGAAAGAACTACACTCTTTCCAGGGAGGTCAGGTTTCACCTTACAAATTCAAACATCAAGGTGAAATTGAACAGCAGAAGTGAGGAACACCAATTTTAAACTTAAATTTCATAAAACAAACTCATGAGAACAAGTAATTTATCTTTTACTTTATTATCTTACAACTCTAAAGTTTTTGAAATGCAAGGCTATTTGAACTTTAATTCTCCCTTAAGATTTCATAATAAGGGAGTTAATACTAAAACACAGTGCAACTATACACGGTTGATATTTCTTTACTGGATGATACTAATGTTATCATGTTACTTAACTGCACAATCTCCACTGTGGATGGTCATAATTCTGAATGGAAAATAAAATGAGCAAATCTTGTGAAAAAAGCAGGCTTGGATTTAATTTTTTGTTCTTAGTTTTTTTTAAAAAAAAAAAATTAAATTTTTTACTGAAATAATTATAGACTGACATACAGTTGTAAGAAATAATAGAGCGATTATTTGTATCCTTTATCCAGTTTCCCAAATGGTAACACTTTACAAAGCATGGCACAACATCATAAGGAGGATGCTGACATTTATACAAACCATTGATCTTATTCAGACTTCCCCAGTTTTACTTCTATTAGTTTCTATGTGTGTGGTCTGTGGCAACCCTGCATTGAGCAAGTGCCATTTTCCAACTGCCTGTCTGTGCAAACTTCGTGTCTGTGTCACATTCTGGTAATTCTCAAAATATTTCAAGCTTTTTCCCTACCATTAATTAATTATGGAGATCTGGTGTCAGTAATTTGTTATGCTTTTATTGCAGTTGTTTGGAAGGGCCTGAACCTCACCTATAAAGGATAATGAACTGACAAATGTTACATGTGTTCTGACTGCTCTACCACCTAGTCATTGCCCCATCTTCTCCCTCTCCTCAGGCCTCACTATGCCCTGAGACAGAGCTACATTAAAGTTAGGCCAATTAAAAACCCTACAATGGCCTCTAACTGATCCAGTGAAAACATTTCTCACTTTAAATCAAAGGTAGAAATGATTACAGGTATTGATCAACTTACCACCTATGCAACTTATGACCATTCGACTTTACAACCACAATCACTAGCCACGACTGCTCCGCATCTGGCAGCACAAACGTTGCCCAGCTGGGCGTACGAGAGTGTGGACCAGCTTCCGGCAGCACTACAATCTCCGCGTGCACCATTTCAACTGTACATATAGCCTACTCAACTTACGACCAAATCGTGTTATGACCAGTCCGCGGTCCCGACCGTGGTCATTAAGTCGAGCACTAGCTGTATACCGTGATAAAGGCATGTCAAAAGCCAAGAGAGGCTGTAAGCCGACACTATGCCTCTTGTGCCAACCAACCATGTTTTGAATGCAAAGGAAAAGTTCTTGAAGAAGTTAAATGTGCTACTCCAGTGAACGTAAGAATGATACAAAAGTGAACCAGACTTGTTGCTGATATGGAAATAGTTTTTGTGGTCTGGATACAAGATCAAACCAGCTACAACATTCCCTCAAGACAAAACCTAATCCAGAGTAAGGCCTTAACTCTCTTCCTTTCTATGAAGGTTGGAAGGCAGGAAAAACTGCAGAAGAAAAGCTGGAAGCTAGCAGAAGCTGGTTCATGAGGTTTACAGGAGGAGATACCTGTGTAACAGGGAAGTACAGGGTGAAGCACCAAGTGCTGATGAAGTAGTTGCAGCAATTAATTCAGAAGATCTAGCTAAGATCACTGCAAAGAGTTGCTACACTAAACAACAGATCAGTGTTTTAACAGATGAAACAGCCATCTTATGGAAGAAGAGATCATTTGGACTTTCACAACTACAGAGAAGTCAGTGCTTGTCTTCAAAGCTTCAAAGGACAGTCTAAATCTCTTGTTAGGGGCTAATGCAGTTAGTGACTTCAAGTTGAAGTTAACGCTCATTTATCATTCCAAAAATCCTAGGGCACTTAAGAATTATGATAAATATATTCATCTTGTGCTCCATAAATAAAAGAACAAATTCTAGATGACAGCACATCTGTTTATAGCATGATTTACTGAATAATTTTAGCCCACTGTTGAGATCTAGTACTCAGAGAAGATGATTCCTTTCAAAATATTACTGTTCACTGACAATGCACCTCGTAACCCACAAGCTCGGACAGAGATATACAAGGTGATAAGTGTTATTTTCATGTCTGCTAACCCAACATCCATTCTGCAGCCTATGGGTCAAGGGAGTAATTTTGATTTTCAAGTCTTATTAAGAAATTACATTTCATAAGGCAATAGCTGCACTAGTTCGTTATTCTGCTAATAGATTTGGGCAAAGTACATTGAAAACCTTCTGGAAAGGATTCACCATTCTAGATGCCATTAAGAACATTCATGATTCACGTGAAGAGGTCAAAATATCAGGATTAACAGGAATTTGAAAGAAGCTGATTCCAATCCTCATGGATAATTCTGAGGCTGAAGACATCAGTGGAAGAAGTTACTACAGATGTAATGGAAACAGCAAGAGAACTAGAATTAGAAGTGACACCTAAAGATGTGACTGAAATGAAGTTTCATAATAAAACTTCAAACAAATGAGGAGCTGCTCATGGATGAACAAAGAGGTTTCTTGACACAGTCTACTCTAGTGAATATGCTTTGAACACTGTTGAAATGATAACAAAGGATGTGGAAAATTACATGAACTTAATTAATAAAGCCATGGCAGGGTCTGAGAGGAGGGACTCCAGTTTTGAAATAAGTTCTATACAGAAATCTTTCATGAAAAGAGTCGAATCAATATAGGAAACTTTATTGTTTTCTTCTTTTAAGAATTTTCCAAAGCCATTCCAACCTTCAGAAACCTCCACTCTGATCAGCCAGCAAGAAGCAAGACCCTTCAGCAGCAAGAAGAGTATAATCACTGAAGGCTCAGATGGTTGTAAGCATTTTTCAGCAGTAAAGAATTTTTAAATTAGGTATGTAGTTTTTATCAGAACTAATGATATTGTACAATTAACAGATTATAGAATAGTATAACCGTAACTTTTACATGCACTGGAAAATCAAAAAACATCACATGAGCTGCTTTTATTGCACTGGTCTGGAATCAAAACTTCAATATCCCCAAAGTATGCCTGTATCTTAGCAACCTCAATCTGTTCTCCATTCCTATACCCTTGCCATTTCAACACTATTTCATAAATGGAATCATACAGAATGTACTTTGAAATTATTTTTCCCCATTCAGCTTAATTCCCTCAAGATTCACACACATTGTATCAATATGTTGTTCCTTTTTATTGCATAGTAGTCCATCATATGAATATACCATTGTTTAACCATCTACCCATTAAAATACATCCTATTATCTTTCTGGCTTCTGGCCATTACAAATAAAGCTGCTATACATTTATGTTCAGGTTTCTGTATGAACATGAGTTTTTATTTGTTTAGGATAAACACATATCCCCAATAGTGCAATTGCTGGGTCATATGACAAGGCAGTTAGTTGCATGTTGAGGACTTTAGAAAAGTGCAAAACTGTTTTCCAAAATGGCTGTATCATTTTGCATTCCCACTAGCAATGCATGAGTAATTCAGTTTTCTCTACATCCTCTCTAGTATTTAGTGCTGTCACTTATTTTACACTTTAACCATTCTGAGAAGAATGGAGTGATATTTCATTGTGGTTTAAACTTCTCTTTCCCCAATGGTTAATGACATGGGTGATCTCATGTGCTTATCTGCCATCTATCGACCCTCTTCAGTGAATGTCTGTTCATGTCTTCTGCCCATTCTCTGGCTGAATTCTGTTGTTTACTATTGAGTTCTGAGAATTACTTCTATGTTACTTAGCCCCCTGCTGGATATGTCACTGGATTTCTTTTTAGTTAATGGACTACAATGACCCATTTCAGAGCCTTTTACAGGCAAACTTTAGACTACCCACTGGAGAGATTCTCAGGAAGATTCCCACAGGACGAGTACTAAGTTTGAGAGACAACACTCTAGGAAGCCCAAAGAAAGAATATCTGTTAAAGTTACGGCCACAGCCTTGCTTGATCATAGGTCAATGAATAGTTAAGCCCAATGATAAAGCAATAAAAGGATGAAGAATATTTAAGAGAAACAAATCTTCCTCACTCCTCAGGTTCCCTTCCATGTGCAGGAGTCCAACCACCCACTAGCAATAATATCTCCTGATCCATTACACTCTAGAGGAGGAATAAATTAGTCAACTGATATGCTCTGGAAGAAAAACCCAGCTTAGCATAGTCCAGCCTTATGCCATTGTGTGCAATGTATAAATTTTGTCCTGCATCTTTAAGAAACAAATCACATGTTCCATAAAGGGAGAAACTGTGACCCACTGCTATCTGCCTCTAGGGAATATTACTTTTTGTTACTGATACAGTTTTGTGGAATATTACTTTTTGTAACAAAAGTAGTATTTACTGATTTACTATGTGTCTTATTCTCCATGCCATTTTTCAATTATTTCAGAATTGGTGTTGAAAAATGGGCACTATTTACTTGACCTCTTTCAAACCTTAACATTAGAATTAAAAAGCAAACAAGAATTCAACTAAAAATATACCATGTGAGTTAATTAACTTATGAAGAATAACAGGGCATATCTGTCTTAAGAAAGTGTAAATTTATATCTTTGGTGTATATTTAATTCTAAATCCTAACATAAATTCAAAGTATGTCCAATCAAAAAGCATAATCTATATAAACATTAAGACAAAAATTTTAATTATGTAACTATTATCTTCTGAATTTAAGAACTAGAAAATCTTAAATTCAAATTCACATTTTGACCTTCATACTTAGAACACACTTCATACACATAAATCAGCATTAATTAGGTTCATACGGGTCTCATTCATGAGTATTTCATGACCAAAGAATCAAAAGGAACTGGATATAAAGTTCCCTCATGGCTGGTATAAGAGAATAAAACTTTATTCAATCAATACTTTTAAATTCATAAACGTATACTTTTAAATATAAATATTTTAATATATAAAATATTTTTTGTATTTTCCAATTAATGATTTTTTTTTGCATTTGAATATCATGTGAATAGCTGGCTAAATCCATTTAAAAAATTTAAAAATTATAACAAACTTTATAAAATGTATTTTAAGATATAAACTGGACAAATCAAGATTGAAATATGCTACTCAATAAAACCTTCTATTTCGTCAATCCAAATTTATCATTTTCCTGCTGCTAACACGTATCATTCTTATCATTTACACAAATCATTCAAGAAATAAACGTATTTTAGAAGCAATTTTTTTTACAGAGTCATGAATAGTTCATACTACCTTTTCAGATAAATTTCAGAGGAATTACAGAGCTGAAAACGTATTATGCTTTGAACGAACTCAAAATGAACACAATGAACTATGGTACACAAAAATTCACAACTTCCCTTACCTGGCTACACCAGCTGATAGCTCAGGTACTACTACCCTTCGACTCCAAGCTACAAGATCCCGCTCTGTGGCTATTTCACTTCTTGGTGCGTTGCTGTGCATTTGCCGGACACCTTCAATTTGTCCACTACGTCTTAGTCCTACGTTTGGTGGTGAATGAACCTCTGAGGTAGAACTTATGGAACCTAAGTGAAAAAGTTAGTATATTAAAGTTAGTATATTAAGTTCTACTTAGAGATATTTCTCCATTAGTTTATAGCAGAAAAAAGAGACAAAACACTATCTTCCACATGAAACTTCATATCGTGGAAAATAATTAAATTACTGTATCAGGAACTAAATCACAGGCAAAAGTTTAATGAAAACAAAACATGGTTATTCAGTTGATTAGATAAGTCAATGAATCATAACTATGGACTATTAAGCCCCAAGGATATAAAATCATTACTTTAAAA